TGAACTACTTAAACCTGAATCAGTCAACTGTCACTTTCAAAAGTCCCAGTTCCTCACATGTCAATATTTGGTGGTTGTCTTTGATGAATCTAAGACTTTTTTGATTGATTATCAAGTTCAACGTTCAAGACGTTGAGAAATACATGAAGAAATATTGGTTTCAAATGAAAAGCGATGTTTACATCATGCTTTGGGAGTATTTGTTGATAGAATTCTCCCCGTCGTTGAACCTCGGCTGCATGTTTCCGCTCCCTCAGGCATCATGGGCCTCCAGTGGGCGAAGCACCTCCGCAACGCCGTCAAAGTCACCATCACGGATATCAGCGACACGTGCATCAAAATGATCAAGGAGAACTGCGAGCTCAATCACATCCGGGTGGACGGAGGCCCGCGTGGCTCCCGAGGCCCCCGGGGCCCCGACGGGGTCAGCGGCGAGGCCGAGGGAGCGCCCATCGCCACGGTGGAGGTGGTCAAGATGGACGCCAACGTCACTATGCACATGTGGCCCTTTGACTACATGTAAGTGGGGAGGGTTTGACACAGTGAACGCACAGTAGTTGGGTAAATTTAGCTTTTTTACCCCCGTAGAAATGCGTAAATACATTTACTGTAGATTTGATTTAAAAACTACGGTGACCAGACATTTCAGGGAGTTACTTTACCTTTTATTAAAAAACGAAATGCAAAAAATGTTCGTATCTGTCAGGGGTTTTAAAGACGTCAATACTGAGAGAAGCACTAACGTTTGCCGCTATGACATTTTTGAAAAATAAGACTAATATAAAACCAATCACGTGCTGGGACAGTCGCTCTGTGTGGGTTTGAGCCTGGAGGCCCAAGTTTGTTTTTCTGAAGTTCTGCAGAATAAAAAGAAAGTAATGCTTCCGGTGTCACTCTTTCGGATCTTTTAGCCACTTGGATCCGTTCGGGACGGCGGTAAACTACCTGGACGCCGCCTTCAGAAACGTCCGGAACCTGGGCATCATCTCTGTGACGTCCACAGACACGGGCTCCCTGTACTCCAAGTCTCCCAACGTCACGCTGCGTCACTACGGCTGTCACATCGTACGCACCGAGTACTACAGAGAGCTGGCGGCGCGCATGGTGGTGGCCACCATGGCCAGGTAGGACTTTAACGCGGGTAACTTTGTCTGTCCCCGATGTGATACTGAGCGTGAGTCTAATCCCCGCTGCCTGTTGTAGAGCGGCGGCTCGCTGTAACAAAGGCATCGAGGTGCTGCTGGCGGTGGCGTTGGAGCACTTTGTCCTGGTGGTGGTGAGAGTCCTCAGAGGTCCCACGCAGGCTGACGAGACGGCCAAGAGGTTACGGAAACTGGTCCACTGTCAGTGGTGTGAGGAGAGAGTCTTCCTCAAACTGGGAAACATGGTGGACGGTGAGTTGATTCAGCGAGCCGTCTGTTGGAGAGCGCCGGCAGTCACGCCGCGCCAAGTGGGCTGCTGTTCAGGGGGGGATTTAACGAGGGACATTTAAATTACATTTTTCTTTAAATCATCACTTCCGCTGTAAATGCTTAAAATGATGAGCCACAACTAGGAAGTTTCGATAAGTAACCCGGTGAATCCTTCATTTTTCTTTCTCAGTCCCCATGATTATAGTTATAACTGTTGACTTATTGTCTTTCCAGACTGTGGAAGGTTCCCGGCTTCCTCACCAACTATAAAGACCACTGTCTGTGGCTGTTGTCCGTGCAGTAATGTAAAAATAGTAAAAATACGTAATGCAACTACTGGCTGTTGTTTGGTCGATATGCTTTTGGTCCTGCGGTTTTTTGGAGTACAGGAAGCTGCGGTAGATCTAGAAAGTAAATCATGTCCTTTCTTGTACTTTCTCCAGAGACGCTGCCCTGTAACTGTCATGGAAGTCTGCCCGGAAAAACAGCAGTGCAACTCGGACCGTTATGGTAACCCCCCGCCCCCCCCATCCCGCCCAGCATCACTGCACCCAGCAGCATCAGTCACAGACACAGACACCTCCCAAAGCTGTAGGAAAGGTCACTAAATACTACACTGACGTTGAAAGATCTGCAGGCACAAAAGTCCGATTGAATCCAGCCTGATGACTGATGTCTGTGTTTGAATGGTCTTTCGTGCTATTAGTTTGCAGACAGTCCTCTTTACAAACGGATTTTCTATGCAGGGTGTGTTACGTGTACATGGGGGACAAAACTCTGTACAATGGTTCAATCAGACCGACAATTGAATGGGCAGAAAGGGACAACGATCCCTCTGAGCAGAGGCTGAAAAAGAATCACTATTCATTGAAAGTTGAGGCTTAGCAACACTTGCGCACAATAATGCTGCCTGGTTTTAGGCAGAATTATTCTGCTTGACTAAATAAAATGTTGACTCATTTGATTCCTCTTTTGCGGCGGCCAAAACATGTTTCTGATGTTTTTTTGTTTTTTATTTCTGTTGAAAAGTTTACATGTTATTGAAAGAAAGTAATTTCTCCCAAACTTGTGTGTGCAGGTCTGGTCCTTTGTTCAACACGGGCTTCCTGAGGAGGATGCTGTCGGCGGCAGTGCAGCACAGCATGGACGACATCCAGACGCTCGTCAAAAACCTCATCTGCGAGTCCGACTGCACCACCCTCAAGTCTTTAGTCCACGGGACGTCCGCTCTCACCAACCAGGGTGAAGCAACCGCACCCCTCATCAGCGCGCGCCTGGCGTTTGCATGAGGACGGCCCGTCGCTAACAGAACGTTGTGTCTCCTCTCTGCAGTGGAGTGCGGCGTCGTTATCAAGACCTTGCAGAGCGGAGGGGAGTCGGGTGCCGCTGAGCCGTCTGGTGGGTCACTCGCAGGTTTATTCAAATGTGAAGCAGTTGGATTCAGCATTAGATTTGTTGTACATGGCATCACTTAAGTCAGGGAAAAAGTTGTGTCTCCGGGTCATTCTAAATGTTCAGTAATCCATGATTTCTATGATTTATGCAAAAAAGACAGTTATGCCGAAGTTCCTTCCCCAGCCAGTAGTGAGAGCCACGACAACTTTGGCAGCAGTGACCACATCAAAAAACAACACTCCTCACAAAGAACGTCACGCCTTAACTGTTTGCTTTGTCGGCAGCATTGAGATTTTTCATAATCGTTTCCTAAAATCTTGATTTTGTTATTTTTTTGTGCACGCATTTTGATTTAAGCGTCAAGACTGTTAATCGTATCTCCTGTTTTTAGGTTTATTTTATAACATCTGCCCCTTTGCACCAGAGATGAAAAATAGCATTTTGCCTGGCTCTTACAGAAATATTTTTATTAACGTGCAACTTCCCGTATAAACCAATAAGATTAAAAAAATTCAGTCTGGCGTCTTTAGACACGTTGAAATTGCCTCTTGATTTCTTTTTGTTTTCGCTAGGAGGGTTTGAACAAAATCCAACCAAGAAACATGAGGTCAGCAAAGTTTCCATGGATCCAGCCCCGTTTTCACCTCCGATATCATTTCTCTTTCTCTCTTTCTGCAGTTAAGAGGAAATCTGGAGACGAGTTGGGGAATGTAGTGAAAAAGATGAAGTCCGATGGGTCTCTGGATCACCCGCCTTTCTACTACAGCATCCACCGCCACAGCATCAGAGGCATGAACATGCCCAAGTAAGTGACCTATGACCTCAGATGTTTTATAGCTGAAAATATTCCCCAACAGCACTATTTCCAAATGTTTGATAAACACTATAGTGACGAGCTGTTTTCAGAAAATGATTGAGCATTTACTCTGTCAGAAGGAACCAATGGGCTCGGTGCTGGGAGCCGGGAGGCCAGAGGGGAACATTTTATTTTTGTTTATAGTTGTTATTTAATCGTTTTGTCTTCACAGGTTGAACAAGTTTCTTCAGTACCTGACGGAGGCTGGCTTCAGGGTGAGTAGGACTCACTTCGACCCGACGGGGGTTCGAACCGACGCCACGCTGGAGCAGTTTAAGGCCGTCCTCACCAAGTACAGCGTGCCCACCTACACCAACGCCACGGCCACGCAGACGAGCGTGAGCACAGAGAAGATCGCGTGAGAGAAACCAGCAGGAAGGAGCCTGATTCACAAGCCTTTGATGAACAAAACACATCGGCTCGTCGTGTTACTCCACGCGTACCGTTTTTATATACCTAAACAAGTTCTGCGTGCACTGATATCCAAAACAGAGCCAACCGCTGCTCACAATGTGGACGTGCAAATACTAAAACAAAGTAGTTATCTGATGTAATCAAACCAAAACTTTATTAAACTTAAAGCTTAACTGCGAACCAAACTGATCCTGCCGCACAAATGAGCCCAACTGATCCATTATTTCTATTTATTTCGCACGTTCTCTTTTTAAATGTTTTTTTTTCTTCTCCAGAGGGAACATTTTAAATCTTTTTTTGTTTTACTCTTCTTTTAAATGCAAAATAAATATGAATTTAGCTGTGATTTCTTGCAATTCTTTCAGTCGCACAGTCAAACACGCACAGATGCATTTGTAAGACTTCAGAACTACAATTCTAGTTCTACAAATAAGCTCAGATACAAACACAGCTCATAACTTTGAGGAGAGTACTGGATTAATCCCATTCAGAGATATGGTTTTAATAGCAAGGTTTATTTATATGGCAACTATAGGTAACAAGGTATCCCAAGAAAAGATATAGACCACTATACAGAAAGGTAAATCCGGCAGAGTAAAAGTTACAGTGCATTTCAAAATAAGAACAAATAGTCCCAAGTTAAATAACATTGTACGGCAAACACACCTTATTGCCCCAAAAAAACGAATTAAGAACAAACTGTAAATTAGAGGCAACTGTATCAAGATCTTTGTCCTTTTTCTTAAGCTGCATACAGATGGACTGTTTTTGTTTAGCTGTGTGTGTGTGTGTGTGTGAACATGTCTGTTTTCATTGGTTCCTGCCCTGTTGCCACGGGTGACACTGGACTGCTGGTTTTGAGCCTCACAGAAGCAACAACGTATACTTTATAATCATGTATAAACTCATGATGGAGAAAGTCTAGTGTCTGAACAACACATTTTATATTCTCGGATTATAATCATCATTTAGGCTCATTAGACCGGGGGAAAGTAACCAACTCATGTCAAATAAAGCAAATGAAAAAAGGAAACATTCCCCTCTAAGATGAAGTACAACGTAACATCAAATTTAAGTATTAAAACACTTTCCACTACTGCAAACAGATGACTCGTTAATACTAGAACACACGAGTATGTCAGAATAAACCACGTTGCACCATTGATCCAAGTGAGTGAGACGCGTGCGTCGCTGGATCGCTGCTGCATTGCGTAACGGGAGCAGCTGAGCCCGCGGAGCATCGCGCCTGTTTACCGGGAGGGAAGAAGTGAGCAGGCTTTCCGTTCCGCGCGTCACTCCATGGCACAGCGTGAGGGGGAAAAGGGAGGAGGAAGAGGGCGTGTTCTTCCTCCCCCTCTCCCTCCCTGCTGCTGCACACCGATGAGTCGGTGTTAGTAGGCTACCTGAGGACTGAACCTTCAACCCGCGGATCCGCTCCCAGCAGCAGCACCAGCGCCATGGGCAACTCCGCGTCCAGTCTGCTGGATGACGCCAATTCCAACTTCATAAAAGGTGAATGAAGATATTTTACATGTATACGATCATTTGGCAAAATAAAGGACGCTGCAAACGTTCACGGTTTGGAGTGACGCGTCGAGGACGCACCGCGTTTCCTTCAACACACAATCTGCGTGGGTTTCCACGGGAGAACTTCCACTCGTTAGTCGGTGTGTTCCCGTGGAGCCTCGTGTCCGAGCGCAAAGGGGCGAATCAATCACGGATTGATCTCATCTCATCTTCTCTTCCCCGATTGGTCGGATTCCCACTCAAATCGATGTGGCTCAGCTGAGACTTTCTGTGGACAAACAAACAAGTGATCAATTTCACTCGGAAGAACTTCCAGCCTGGTCTCGTAGTTTTCCACAGAAATGACTTATTGAGACTTAAATCCTGCTTCTGACTGACAGGCGATAAACTCAGGAGGCTTTTAACGCCCCTGTCAGTGCTTCCAGTGCAAAGGATCACTGTGGAGGGCGGATCAGGTCCCTCCGGCCTTTCCAGTCCTGCAGGGGAACAGAAAAGTGAGATGGTACAGAGGTCCAAGACCTGTTTCCCTCTTAGTGTCTTGTGTCCTCTGTTGCTGGGTGCGTCCCGTGGTGGATATGTGGAGTAGACAAAAGGTGTCTTTGTTGTTGTCGTCATGGCTTTTGTGTGATAGAGAGACTTGGGTTCTGACAGGTGCAGTGTGCCAACATCCACAAATCAGGTCACTCGGCTCAGCTCAAAATATTTGAGCAGAAAATTGCTTTTAATGAAGATGCAGTACATTTTATTTGAGCTGCTTCATTAAGCAACTTTTAAACAACTTCCTACTTTAACAAATGGAAAAACAGCGGCAGCTTTGTGGCTTTTTGGGAATGAAAGAATGTGCTTGTGACCGATTAGGGCTTCGACTATGGATACATTGAAAACATCTTCAAATATTAATCTTCTCTCGGTCACAAAATAAATCTGCATAGTTGTTGATGTGACTTTTCTTGCTGCGTCAGTTTCCACTGAACATGTTGGCATAACAAAGTGAGGGCGAGACGACCAGCAGCGACCAGCTGACCGGAGACGTTTATGGACTTGTATCTTTTTACAGGTGTGACTAAAGATTATTCACATTAGCGATTTTAACTCATTTTCTCAATGAATTGCTTTGTCTATAGAACGTGAGAGCGTAGTAAAACCCTTTTCTTCAACTATGCCAATGTCTCCACATGTCTTGTTTTGTCCAAAATAAATAAGAATCAGTGAGTTGTTGGAACTTGCCGGAGGGATAATTTCCCTCCCTGAGGCTGGTAAAGTTCAGCTGTGTCTGCTTGGCTCTGGCATGTACTCAGGAGGACTGGAACCTGTTTCTCCAGGCTGCACATCAGCTCCTAGGCACTCATAGCACTTTAAGGAGTGGATCGACTGTGTGTGTGTGTGTGTGCTGACATGCAGGGACATCCAGAGGAAGATTAGGTTTCAATATGGAACAGCTGGAACTGTCTTTGTTTTTTTAACAATGTCTTCTGGCGCTTTGTCACAAATTCTCGAAACCCCTGTGTTGCCGGATCGTTTGGCTCCTTGGGTCACACGGACAACAGGCGGGGGTCACCGCTCAGGGATAAACGTTGTTGTAAACGAAACAAACCAAAGGTGAAAAGTATGAAAAAACTGAGGGGAAAAAGGTCAAGGCGTAAACAAAAGGCAACCGACTAAACTGGCAACAGTGATTGTTAAAGAATAATCTGGTCTCCTTTTGAGCTCTAATTGGCCTCAGAATGGAATCTGGGAAAGGGCCTTGATGGCTGTTGCCTAGGTTACGGAGTATCGTACATTGAAAATATAAGAGTAAAAATCTTGTGCCACGCCCTGTCGTGGGGTTCTACAGATTTTCTTGTCACCGTTGACGTCCCCTCGCTCTGCACGCTGGTTCTCGCCCCCATAAGTTGTTTTTACGGGGTCCTTCGTCGAAGCAGCTCAGTCGGCTCGCACTCTGGGACGAGCCTTTCGCTCCCATCGTTCCCCTCCTCAGCTTTTCCTGGCCGGGCGGTTTTAGCGGAGGGCGACCTCGTTGCGGGGACGCTGTGCATCCATTTGTCTTTGTGGAAGCACTCCTCTCTCTCAGCCAGCAGCAGTGACGTGTGTGTGTGTGTGTGTGTGTGTGTGTGTGTGTGTGTGTGTGTGTGTGTGTGTGTGTGTGTGTGTGTGTGTGTGTGTGTGTGTGTGTGTGTGTGTGTGTGTGTGTGTGTGGTTATGGGAGTGTTTGTTGAATATTTGGTGGTAGTTTACTGGGTTGGGTTGGACAAGGCTACAATTGAGTCATGAGGCCGATGACTCCAAACATTTGTCCTTGAGTTTGGACTGTTTGATGTCACGACGCAAACCCTTTTCTCTCATTTCCAACTCGATCTGGTGGTACTTGGACATCATACGTGTGCGTTGTACAATGACTTGTGTCCGGGTCCTCCAGAAAAGGAACACACCGAACCACCGGTGAAGTTCTGCACGCTCCCCAGCGTCATCTGGTAGAGCGGTGGCTCTTTGTTTGTCCGCCACGTGTTTTACCAAAGAGGAGAAGCTCAAGAGGGACACGAGATCTGTGTCTGCTCTGAGGAGTTCCTGCGTGACTCAATAGTTTGAACTGTTTCCCAAAGCACTGCTCGTCTCACCACGGCCGCTGCGTGACTGGTGACGCGTTGGGATTGGATCAGCAGACATCCGCGAGCACGGTGCACGTCTTCTTCCCGACGTGCCGTGTTTACGGCACAGCAGACACGTTGAAACGCTCTGCTGGTACCAAGCATGTTGCCGTAAATGGAAACATTGCGCGTGTGATAGTTGTGGTAAATGTTTATGTTCAGTATTGCTCACCAAAACGTGTTGTGTGTGTGTGTTGTGCTTCATGAGTTCTATTTAATATTTTTCCTCCATTGAGACTTCGAAAATCCCAAATTGTTTACATTCATGTTTAGAAATGCAGACGTGTGGCTTTTTTTTAAATACACAAAATGAGGAGCCACTTGTAGAAAAGCGGCACCGAAGGACTTTAACTGAAGTAGGTGCGCTCTGCTTTGAAAGGCCGTACATTTTCACTTCACATGTGATGTGTTACTAAAACGGTTTGTGTCCCACCTGGCTCCAGAGAATGTCCACCCGGCTCAGCGTGCAGCATTGCACCATGTGTCCAAGTAGAAGAAAAAAAAGATCCTCATGTGTGTTGTGTGCACTTTTTAAAAGTGCGGCGGATTGGTTCCAGTCAGAACACATGATTGTAGCGTCGATGAAGTCACCGTGGAGGTTCTTTGGTTTCGCCTCAGTCACTCCAGCTGCCATTACACAATCCCTCAGATATTCCGAGGAGCTGAGAGACCGTGAAAGCCCCCAACCCGCCCACCCGGTTTTAGATCTGAATTCACGGCTTTCCACAAAGAGAGGAAGCGGCTGCTGCCCTCTGCTTTAAACCCGCCTGTTGTTTGCACATCTGTCAGTGTCCACCAAACACAATGCAAATACTGCAACTCTGCTGCTATTCACACCTTGAAAGTACCGCCAAGAAAGAAAGTATGTACGTATTAAAGTAGAGAATTAACACATCCTCCAGCTCTCTGAAATGAACTTTCTTATCAAACATCTTTTGTGCTTGGAGCTCAGCGCAGGTGGAGCTTTTTCTCCCCGTTGTTCAGTTCACGTATTTGGCCTGTTTGAGTGTAAACAGAAGGACCTGGAGGAAGAGCTGGGCATCATGACCTTGACGTTCTTTGCCCTCATCAGCCAGGTATGATGGCACGGGAGCGTCAAACAGGCTCTGCAGCTCGTAAAATGGGCAGATGAGTTTTATTATTCTTTCAGAAACGCTCCGACAAGGCGACGCCCATCTGACGGAGCGCCTGCGCATCAGACGGGCGTCCTTTTCAAGTGCAGCTCTCTATCACTATGGAAGATTCCCCCTGTGTCTTGTGTCTCTTATGTAATATCACGGCAAACAAGGCAGGGAGCTGAGCCTCGGGACGAGTCCCTGACCATCAGCAAGAAACCCACAACGCCCTTTTTTAACTGCGATGAACACGGAAAGGCTCCCAACAATGATTCTACTGCGCAACAAAACGACTTTTCATGACACACGTCGACGCCAAATGATTTCGCAACAAAACGTGTTTGTTTCTTTTAGTTGGGGTGAGTCGTGCCCCCAGCCACCGTCTTTGTTCGGATCAGGAAATGGAGTCGCAACCTGGGAGACGGGTTAAAGGAGAGCAGGACGGGACATCATCTGGTTTCAATCATTTGAATGTGTCACTTTGGTTTGTATGCAAATGCCTGCAGGGCCCCGAGCTGCACACTGTGTTTACTGCGTACTAACTAATGATCGCATGTTTACAAGGTAAACCGTAAACCTGCTGAACATCAATCTGATCGCATCGTCATTGGGAGCACGTTGGCACAAAAGCTCCCTCTGTAACTGGAGTGACTTTAGATTTGTTGCTTAATAAATTGCAATGAGTTGATGATGGTTGAAATTAGAAAAACACACACACACACACACACCTATTGTGTCTTTGTCCAACATTTTTCCGCCTCGCACTGACTAGTATTTCCCGACTGAGCATACACACATCCCATCTTTGAGCTTCAGAAGTTTCAGAAACGTAATACCTTCATTTTTGTGTACAAAATAACATGAATTGTATATTGAATAATATTCTATTGATTTTAATGTAGTTTGAACTGCACTTTGGGGCAATTTTAGATCATGCTTGATTGAGATCTGTCATGTCGTGTGGATTTGGGTGACTTTTAAACCCGTAGGTCGTCTGCAGTGGTTGTGCATACTTCCAAGTAATCACCATGCGTGTTCGCTAGAACAAATGATCAGTGCTAACAATGTCTGACACACACTCGCCCTGGACCTCAGACATGTTCACACGAGGTGTCGCCCAGATCTGGTCTTGAGCTTAATTTAGGTCGGAGCTTTGACAACTGCTGCATTTACTCAATAAACTGTTTCGCGTGGAAGAAGCACCCAGGGGGGCTTACGGCATTAGGGTTAAAGGGTCCGTCTTTGTGATGAAACACACCCACTGAGGAGGCTCTCTGGGTGCTTTCTAGCATTCATCGATTTAAATTGGCCTCATTTTTCACTTCCAATTCAAAGGCCGAGTTGAATCATCTCCATTTGAGCGAAGCCTGCAGGGAGCCTCGTGTTTCAGCGCGTCAACCGCTCTGTCCCTCTCGCTCGTGAACGTTGAAGGTGGAAGAGCAGGTCTCTCCAGCGCAGCGGCGGGTTGTCAGTCGAGCTGCTGCCGAATCACTTAACACGACTCTCGCTCATAGTTCACATTCCAGACACTCGCATACCAGGGCATGTTTCTGTTAGAGGACAGAATGTTTTTAACCCCGGTGTCGTTTTGTGTGTTTAGAGAGTTGTGGAAGGATTGCAGCGATAAAATGCCTTTTTGCAAAATGGAAAGCTTATCGTCTGCAATATTTAGAATATTTAGGTTGATGAAGATAATACACTTGTCTGTTTATTCAAGACAGGCTGCACATGCTTGCAGAGGAGTTTACTAACTCAAATCTGCAGGTGTAGAACTCATTTTCATATTAACTAAGATCTGGACCGTTGTGAGTGATGCATATAGGAGACGTCGGTGTTGGAACAGGGCGACGTGCGTGTGAATGCCCTCTAGTCTGGTCTGCTCTCCTTAGCTGGTTTCTCTCTGTGCACAGATGGCAGCATAAATGAACACAGCGAGCCGTCTTTTGATGGACGCCCGTTGAGAGCTAAGCGCTGCAACATGTGAGAAGTTGTGTGGTCCTCGGTCGTAGTCTACCTGTCGCTCAGTGCGTTTCCATCCTCTGGTTGAAAAACAAGTATTGGAAAAAGTTTCCTGGCATCCGTCTGAGATTTCAAACAATGCAGAACTATTGATAAGTACTTGAATTCCAATGTGACAGCACCATATCACTAATGTATGATCTCAGTCCGCGGTTAGAATGGCGCCCGCAGTGTTTCACTTGTGTGTCAGTTGCTGTTGTGTCCGTACACAAGTTTAGAGGCCAATGCCGGCTGTGGTTAATTTGCTCTGAATGACCCAATTTGTTTTACTTTCCACTAGTGTCTTCACAATGTGTGTGTGTTTATCCCTTTTGCACAATGTTCAGCTTTAATTTGAGGATTTGTACTCGTGCCAGGACTCCAATGAGAAGCAGGCAGATGGCTTACACTGGCTCATTTATAGTCCTGCTAATTAATAAGACGTATCCCTGGGGGGAAAGGCAACAAAAGAAAAGCATTAGTTGTGGAAACTCAGTGATTATTTTAGCGGATAATGTTGGAGTTGTCCCAGCTGTGGGCAACTAAAAACTAAGGGTGGGCAGGAGGGTCTGGGCCAGGCTGCAGATAACATATCTCAATTTATAGTGATAAGTGTTGCAATGCAAAACTAAAATTAAACATGGCTGGATAATATTTACACAGTGCTCACTTTGTCACAGCAGTGAGCTGAAGTTATTTTCTTTGATAAACTCTAAACCTTTTAAAAGCAACAAAACAAAGCCTTTTCAAAGCCATTCAAATCAACTCCTAAGTAGCGCGAGCCAAGATGAACTCGCTGGAGGAGGAGGAGTCACTGAAGCAGAGGTTCTTTCTACACTGTGAATTTGTGCTGCAGCGTTCTCGAAATGCAAAGAATGAGTCAATTATACTAGAAGACGTGTATCTGTCTCCCAGCTGGCAGCCAGAGAAGATCAAACCTCGGAAAGGCTCACAAATAAAATACTACGTCTGTGCACCGCGTCCCCTCAGGGATCGGAGAATAAATCCTCATTTGTGTTTGATTCTCTCTGTGATTGTTCACAGCTTCTCTTTATTGGAAAACCAGGTTAACCTGCAGCCTGACTGGGTGCTGTCAGGCAGAAGTAGGACGGCAGGCTGCACAGACGATCACATATGCAGAGTCTGTCCTTTTCTTTCCAGTGACGTCAATGAGATGCCAGGATATTTACCTCTTCTGGGGTGCACTAAATTTTCTTCGAACCAAACCACTAGCCAGTCTAAAAGTGTCACGTTTGTGGTGCTAGAGGAGACTTTTAGGGAAGATTAATGCAAAAGGGAAGAGTTAGCTATGCACCCACAACTTAAATTGTTAATGATCTGAGTGTCCAAAAGCTTTTGCATGAAACGTATGCAGCACATTTGCCTTCAGATCACCAAGTCAAACACTTTGGCAGTTTCGAACAGGCTTGGATTATATAACCTCATCATGTCTATTTTGAACCCGGATCAACCACCCTTGAGCTATGTTTAGATCTCTCACCTGTAAAGTTGTATGTTGTGCTGAGAGAAAGGGTTCAAACTCTGGGGGTAATCTTTAAATTCGGCCCCCAAATATCCACAAATACTTTGATGGAAATTTGGCTAGGTGTCGTTTCTCCAATTTAACCATCCACCAATGAAAGCGCATCCCTGTGGAGTGTTCTTGGCCCGGAAATGGAAACTGCCCTCGTCTGGGAGCAGGATATCCACTCTGTTAGCTGATCATTGGAGGTATAAGTAGACTGCTCATGTGGGTCAATGTGGAGGCGAGACGCCAGCTAACCCTTTTTGTACACACGCCATTGTTTAGGACTGAGGAAATAACAAGGAGGTCCTCTGAGATCCGCCATCCACAGCTACAAACTGCCGCCGCTGAGGAAGAAACAGCCGCTGCTTTGACACATTTGAATTCATAATGTGTATTAAACTACCAAATAAACACAACAATTACATTTTGATCATTGAACCTGGAATTGTTTCTTCACCCTGTAACCGAGCCAAAGAAACCCCTGCTTGTATTTTCCCTTCACGACTCTTGTTTTCTAAATTCATCTCTAACCGAGACATACATTGCGATGCAGCGCCACAGCTTCTGTTACCATAGTGACGTGGAGTCGAGTTGTCGTGGCGCCGTGCCATCGTGCCGGCTACAAAACACCCCAGAGAGATAATGACGGAGCACATTGACCCCGACATTAACACTGAATATACAGTGAGGGAGACAATACACAGCAGCCGCCTGTTCAGGCATGTTTATCTATTTAGTGGAGGATGTGTCGCAGGGAATTACCTCTAATAGCTTGTGGACATTGAGCAGTTAAGGCTGCGTGAATACTCATTAAATTATTATTATCATTATTATTTTTTTTGTGATGTGATTTTGCAGCCTGTGCAGAGAGGAGACTATTCAGAGTTCTGTTTCTCCTAAGAAACCGAATCCCTCCGCGTCGGCAATCTAGCCTGCTTCAAACAACAGCGAAGTGAAATCTGAGCGAGTTCTCTTTTTTCTCTCAAAGTGCACTGCCAGCTAGTCTTAGGTTGACGGACCACAAGAGGGACAACGTGAAAGATGTGGTTGTGTCTCCTCACAGAGAGACACACAGAGTCTGATTAGATAGAAATTAGAGTAATGATACAGAGAGAGAGAGAGAGACACCACCAACAGCAGCCTCGGCCTTCCGATGACATTATTCTGCAGATCGACCCCGGGAACCGTGTGACATCAGCTGTTGTTTGTTATCCAGGCTGGAGGAAGACCTCGGCGCGCCTCAGCGCCAAGAAAGAGATGGAAAATGAGCACATAGATGAGCTCAGGTTTCGTTTGCAAGAAAGCTTTGTGTCACCCCTCCGTGTGTGTGTGTGTGTGTGTGTGTGTGTGTGTGTGTGTGTGTGTGTGTGTGTGTGTGTACCTGTTTTTGTGTTTGAATAGTATTCAAACCGGACGTCCTGGTTCACATGTCCTCCCCTACCTGAAACAACACGCCCCCTGTGGAGCGACCCCGGTCTTATTGTCGGGCTGAAACCTGACCAAGAGTCCAACTTTAAGGCTTTGGCTCAGTATTCAAGTGTAACCAGTGCTTAATTTGCCACTAAAGACCAGCGAGTAACCATTGTTCCTTCTCCTCCCCCCTGTGTGCTCCTGCAGGCCGGGCCGAGGCCGAGCTGAGAGAGTTCAGTCCGTACTACAGGAAGCAGTTCTCCCTGGCTCGTTTCTCCAAGGTCGAAGATGACCTGGAGCAGCACAAGGAGAAGATCACACAGCTGCTCAAACAGAGGGTAAGTGTCTGCACCGGCGCCAAACCCCTCCGGTCCGGACTCACTCTTCAAGAATGGTTCCAATGAGTCAGAGAGGTTTGGTTTACGGGTTGGCAGGGTAACCACACAGCAGTAAGCACATGTGCACGTGTGACTAAACATCCGTGACGTCATCCAGCTGTGCGAGACTGCGAGCAGTCGGCAAAGACGGAAGCGCCGTGAAAGCTGTGATGAAAAGTCAACAGCCGGAATGGAAAAACCATTAAATGTGACCAGCGATCAGCTCACTTTTCCACATGTTTACCTGAGTTAATTGTACGTGTGTGTGTGCTGTCCAGGGGGCTCCTGAGGGGGGCGAGGTCCTGTACGAGGATCCCGTCCTTTACTTTGACGACACCAGGAAGTGGAGGGAGAGGTACGTGGTGGTGAGAGCCAACTATTGCCTGGAGTGTCACGACGGCCTGGAGGTGAGCGTCACAGTCAAATGCCAAAAGTGTCCCATGGATCTACTTGCTCCCGCACCAAGCGACCCATTTCTTCTGACCCTCTGTTCTTTATCTATTCCTTTCACCAGAGCTTTGTCAAAGGGATTCCTCCCCGTCAGAATCTGCTGCCTACAGGGGGCACCGTCCTGACCACGGAGGAGAAGTACATGGTCATGGTGGACAAGTGCTTCCCCGATGACACCAGTGAGTAAAAGATACCTGATACCTCTTTGGGAAATAAAGGAATACAGAGCATCAACTTCTTGCACAGATGGAGAAATGTAATTAATCTGCATTGGTTCAATACATATTTAACTAGAAGAGGAACAATTCGTAATCCGTGGCAGAAGAGTCCAAACTGAAGCTGCTGAGCCCGATGACCGAATATTACATCATCGTCTAGCAGAGAATATTTAATCTGTTGCCTGTTCCTTTCAGCATAAGATACACTTTAATTATTGATACCGCACATGCAACGTAATCCAGAACTTTGATCGTGTTGATTGATTAGTTGGTTTAAACACAAATTAAAAACGCACATTCCAGTTTGGCTGTGTGCCTTCCCCCTCGTGAGTCCTCTGGCTGCAGCAAACAGCCTGTGGCTGTCATGAAATCAGGCTCAGAATGTTGTACCTCTTGATATGATTGTAGCGATAACATCAGGTGGAATTCTTCTTTTAACGGTCTGCGGTGTAACAGCAGGCAGGTCGGGACACGCTCTCATCCAGACTGTTTCCAAAGTATTCACTGAGTGGCTTCGCCCACAAAAAGCCCCCAAGTGAGCAACGGACAGCCTCAGAATACTGCTGCCTTCCGTGTGTGTGGTCCAAACTGCTTTTACTGGCCTGTTTAAAGGCAGCAGGTCAGAGGCACCTGCAGACTCTGTAAATAAATCAATTCACCGATTTACCCTCCTATTGTGTTTGAATTCCGTTAATTCATAATGAAAATAACTAATTCTCATCAAGTAGAAGGTTTTGCCTGTTTACTTTAATGGCCATAGCCACTGTATGTTGTACTAAACTATCTATATAAATAGTCTGTTTATTTTATTTATTATATGTATTAATAGCTTTGTAGTTGTTGACTTCACTGACATTGAATATCCATCTGAGCGTGTAGACTTTCACCATTAACAGTCAATTCTTTACTCCTGTGAAGGAGACATTTTGTTGACCTGGGGTGCCGTTTTGTTTTGACTTGAAGGAAGTCAAAGTCTCATCTGGTTAAGTGGTTTAAAACGGAGAGCAGCCTAAAAACATGTATGAACCCTGAGGAGTCATTCGTGCATCTCTCAGTCTGTTAAAGGCCTTTGAGAAACGGTGATGAATCATCAAGTGTTCTGGCTTTAAATGGGTTCAACACATGGAGCGCAGAAGTGAAACAACACGTGTCATTTCCAAACACAACAAAAGCACTTGGATCATAACATGTACTTCCATTGTGTGGCAACACTAACATTCATCTGCCAGTTTAGCTAAAACAACATCGGTGGAGCGATGAGCTGATCCCCCACGTTTTGTGTTTCAGGCGCGAAGGAGGACTTTGCTCCTCCTCTGTCGGGGATGCCCGGGCAGTTCCCCGTTTACCTGCGTCTGCCCTACAGGAGAGACTACTACTTCTGCTTCAGAAACGAGGCCAAAAAAGAGGCCTTCCTCTCCATCCTGTCGGACTGCATCAGACACCAGAACCATGGTGAGATTCTGCCGCAAGATGCAGGCGCTGCAAATACACCACAGCAGGTTCACCTTCTCTCATAAACGAGGGCACGGTGGCTTATTCTCTTTTAGGGCTTGGTATCATTTAACATTTGACACTTACTTTGACTTAATTACGTGAAATGCAGGTTGATGTTGGTAAAATGTTCCTGTTTTAAATCAGGAAATATCTGTGAACAGGAATAGAAAGAAGGCGAGAGATTATAACTGACAGCGTTTATAGTTTTCAGTATTTGGCACCACCGAGTACTGAGGTTGAGTACTTGTTAAAAACACAAAAAAAGCCTTTCGCTTTAGTGGACCAAAATTAGTTAGCCGCAGTTTAGCTCATCAATTTAATGTTTCCAATTTATTTCTTAATAAGAATGTCAGACCTTCTCCGGCTCCAGGCTGCTGGTCTTCTTACAGCAGTGCAATAGTACATTAAATATCTTTGGGTTTTGGACATTGTGACCGACAGTTTCAGTATTAAGAGACATTTTACAACCTATGACTCGATAACGATAACCACAGTTAGTTGCCCTGATATGGAAAGAAATACCTAAAGAATCAAATTGATTGAAAATGACATTCATTTCTCACCACATGGTCACCAATAACATATTTTTCACTCTTGTGAAATGATTCGACGACACAGTTTCATCACCAGCAGCATCTTATTGTTCAAAGGACGGATTTAGGTTGCACGACATCACTTTAATCACTTTCGGCAGTTGCCATGACAACAGACTTGCCACACCACATCTGAAGAGCAGAAGCGGTCTTTTTTTTTTTTTTCCATAATGAAGTCGTAGCATAACATCTCTGCTGCCGAGCCGGTCGCCAAAGCATTGAATCACATCTGGACTCGGAGTAATGCGAACACGTCCGAGCGACGACACGTTATTTGTGTTGTTAATCTCTCCATCGCTTCGCTCTCTCTCTCAGACTTCCTGAAGAAGAAGACGTGTGAAGTGCAGGCCTTCCTCAAAGCCATCCAGCTCTACAGGCAGGACAAAGGCCAATACGAGCCCTGGGACATGCTGATAGGAAGCGATGTCAGGGTACGTTCCCACAACCGCTTCCCTGCAGCCAACAAACGCTTACAGGATTCATCTCCAACAAAGGAATGACTTTCGGAAAGTGCACTCCGTGCGTTGCTGAGTGTTTTTTCCGAGAGGAGATTTTTAAACAAACGAGAAATGAGAATGTGGTTATCAGCGAGCGTTTCCTGGCGTTATGCTAAGCTAGGCTAACCACGACCTAAATCTGTACTTAACATATGTGAGCTGGGTATTATAGCTTACTCACAAAGAAAATCAAACAATTTGCAGACTATAACAGGACAAAGGTGCTTCGAAACGCAACATAACGGATGAGACCGAAATGCTACAACTTCTCCTCCGCTGGGAGATGAACCGTTGTGTCTGTCAAAGAGAGCAACTCCTTCCCGAAGACGACCGAAACATTCATGAAACAGATGTTCCGCTGTTAGACCAGAACATTTGTCAGGGGAGCGGCACACTGGCTGAACTGTGTCACTGGTGAAGTGATGATGATGATGATGCCTTTTCAGACATTTGTTCCTACTGGATCAAACTTATAAACAACACAAAGAAGCACCGGTTTCTCACACAGAGCATGACACTTAGTAATAGAATGCACGCTCACGCACCCTTTAGAATCTAGTGGTCCACGTTTCTCTAAAGGTGGCACGGTGATATGTGAGAATCTAACACTAAAACATGGATCCACCAATAAACGATTATTTCCCAAAGGCTACACAGCAACCTAGAAATGCTGAATTCATTAATTCACGCTTTTTTTTATATTTGTGAAGCATTATATTGCCTCCCTCTGTTTAGAGTTGATCCTGTGAAAGATTTTGTAAATAATGTAAAAAAATCAATCATTACCTTCCTGATCTATTGGTTATGATGATTGAGAACTAATATATATATATATATATATATATATATATATATATATATATATATACATGTATATATATTAGTTATTGAAGCTGATAGCCGGGCCTTAGACCTCATTGTCAGTCAGCGTGGTTACATGGATTCGAATAACTGGCTTAGTCGGACTGAAATCGAATTATCCGTTTCATGTAAACACCTTTGTCCGACTACGATCCGACTAACACCCCTGGATAACTCCATCCGATCCAGTTGATAGTTCGACTATTGCGGCATGTAACGGTGAATCGGATGAGGAACTGGACTTTGCGTCTTTGCGGATGCTTGAGATCCCGACGGCGTCTTCTCTCCGTTATCAAATCAGCCAATAGCGCCATTTGCATTCGCTGTGCTCTTATTAGCATCATGCACAGACAGTAGAGGGGTGTAGCTTCACCTTGCTCTCCGTTCACCAGCTTTCTCGAAATGTTGATGTTGTTGTTGTTGTTGGTAGTGGTGAAGAGGTCAAGCGGAAATGGCTGCATCACAACTAGTTGTAATGAAAACAGCGCCACCTATCGTATCGGATATGACATGCTTTCGGCCAATGATTCGATTTATTCACTGCCATGTATATTGGGATAATAGCACCTCCCCTCCGAAAGATAGCATAGTCCGACTAAGCCAAGATTCCAATTAAACCGTCACGTAAACACACTGAGTGTGTCCTTTCTGACAGAGACCGAGCGATTAAACGGCTCTCATTGTTTCCTGTATACTGACTGCGGCGTAGCTGCATGATGGAAGGACGCAGGGCGTCGGCTCATCACGGTCACGCCTCATTTGCGTCCTCTCCGTGTAAACTTCCAGCAGCAGAGAGAACACATGGAGGACGAGCGCCTTTGGTCCACTCGGACCGTCCTCATTACGCTCTCCTTTCTTCCTCCTCCCTCCCCGAGCTCTCTGCTCTGCCGTTGTGCTTCCTGCTGTTTTTTTTCTCTCTGTTCTCTTTTAAAGCGGTGCAGAAATCCTCCCTCATAACGACGTAAATGCTCCATTGTGTTTCTCTTCGCTCACATTGTGTTGAGTCACAATTAGTCGGAGGTTGACAGGAAGTTTGACTCGCTGCAGGAGAAGTAAGAATGCACAACAAAGTACACAGCCGTGCACTCATTCACCGGCATTTTTTCCTTCATGTACATAGCCCTCGTCTGACACACACTCTCTCTCTCACACACACACACACACACACACACACCCGTGAGAGAGACATGAGTGAAATATTGGCTGCTGAAACCGTTTCACTGAGTTTAATAACCACTGCATCAAAATCATAAATCTGTCAAGGTCTCAGACTTTACAAACTGTTATTTGGAGTGTGTGTGTGTGTGTGTGTGTGTGTGTGTGTGTGTGTGTGTGTGTGTGTGTGTGTGTGTGTGTGTGTGTGTGTGTGTGTGTGTGTGTGTGTGTGTGTCTCGGGGGGGCACAGACTCACTAATCACCAACATGTCTATTGACCTTTTATAGTCATTTATAAAAACTGCTTTAAACCAAGTAAACAGTGAGTTACATCATTTAATCCAATAGTGTTTGTTGCCTCATCGCGTCACACAAAATATGCCCGATCTGTGTCGCCAGTGGCGACCACAGTCCTGCCTCAGCTGGTTCTTCGCCTGTTAGACAGAAGGTCTTCTCAGAAACAGGAGACCAGATTACAATGACACTTTGTTGAAATTGAGGAATGGATTTGGTGTGGGGGATTTCTTCACATGGATATTTTCTCATGAACTTCTGCACTGCGGAATGAAGAGAATCTGGCACGTACTGTACGTCACGTCTCGATGTGTATTTTGATGACGATCCAGCTCTTGGTTCTCTCCAGTTTGTGTTATTTTACAGAGGCTTCATTACCAACGCGGCCAAACATTTAAAATATTTTAACGGCAAAATTCCAGCAGCATGAAGCAACGATGAGGTTTCTGTGGAGAATCGTTTTCGCTCCATGCTAACAAACGGCATAGTCAGAGAAGGTGTTAATCTGGAACTTAGAGGCCAAAACTTTAGGTACATATCTCGTCGTTTTTTTTCTTTTTAAGATTTGTGACCAAGATGCATGGGACATTTGACAGTGTTGAAAAAAACTTGTCGGTGCTCTTTGATGAACGTACTGCTTTTAAATGTCCCTTGTTTGGTATATCTGCGTTGACGTAATGGGTCTCTCTCTATTTCATTGTGCATTTTCTCAAACAAAAAGTAACTAGCACCTGAATCGGGAAACAAAGCAATCCAACATCACTTCGGGTTTCGGTCATCTTCAATGTGTTTTGAAGGCAATTTAAATGGTTCAGATAATGATTGATGTCCCGTCTATGTGTTTGCAGGTGATGGCCAACCTGGTGATGGAGCAGCTGCTGCCGATTCTTCAGAAAGATCTGCTGCCTCGCCTTAAATCCAAGAAGGCAGAGAGGAAGAGAGTCTGGTTTGCCGTGAGTCAACTGGAAACCTTTTTATATCCTCTGAGGGAGACGATGCTGCTGGCTCACTGTCAATGCAGATGAAATCATGTATTAGTCCTGCTGTTCACTGCACTCTACGATGCCTCCAAATCTTCATATAGAGCAAGTTCAATTTGATCAAGCAGTAAGAAATGAAGTGAGCTGAAAAGCTCCCGTGTTTTGATGAATTAACCCTTTGTGCGCAGACGGTGGAGGCGGCGTACATCGTGGTCCAGGAGCGTTTGTTGGAGGGACTCGCCGCACTGAAGGAGGAATGTCAAACGTCAGTCCGGCAGCAGGAGGTGCTCATCCACTCCGACATGGACCAGATCCTCAATACCAGACGGCAGCTGGAGGAAAAAGTCCGAGGTAACCGTGACCTGCCTGATCAAACGCGTTCCTCTCCTGTGAGGAATGTGAATGGAATGGGCTCCGGCTGTAACCCGAGGATAAACATTTAGATGTCTTCCACCAGACAGAGTGTCGGCGCGAGCAGAGAAGCTGTTCTCCGAGTCCGTCCAGCCGTACCTGGCCTCCGTCCTGGAGGAGCTGATGGAGCCGGTCAGCTGCGGCTTCCTGGAGGGACGTCAGCTGAGCGAACACGCCATGGACCAGGTGTGTCAGGACGTCCTGCGGCTGGCAGACAAGGAGGAACTGAGGAAGGTTTGTCAATCGCCAACATCCTCCTGTGTGTGTGTTCTTTTTTTTACCCGTATCGTTCACAAATAAACGAGTAAATGCACAGTGATGGTCCAATTAACTGAGGAATAATCACATTTTACTGTCACCTCCAGATATATTATTTTCCCGTGAATATTTAAATGAAGGTCTCATCTGAAAGTGTCCAGCCAAAATATTTTTTCCCCTTCTGAGATTGTAGTCTGAACACGGCTCAATTTGTTCTCCTGAATCGATAAATGGACCCATCGCTCCGTCTCTCAGGCTCTGGCAGACATGGCCAGACCCAACCTGCTCAGCTGCTACCAGAAGATCGCCTCCCTGCAGGAGAGACTTCAGGACCTGCAGAAGAGGTTCGGTTTATCCAGCATTTCAAGAGTGATCTACAGCGCTCAGATCGACCTGCAGCAGGTACGCGCGCACACACACACACACACACGGGTACAAAACACGGGTTGTCAATTCCTTCAAGGCTTAGTGAAAACAAACCACATGGGAGGGATGTTTACTTTACTGCCAATAGTTTGGTACTTATGTAAGTATTATTATATTGTATTGGTACTTTTACTTACAGTATCATGGATTTCATTCACTCTCTCCTCCTTCAGACCACTCAGCTGTCAATCTCATACTGTCGAGTGGGTGGAGGCTTTTTCCCAAAGAGTCATTTTATTAGTCAACATTTCTGACACAATTGTAACGTGAGCCATTGACTCGGCACTTCAGTGAGTGAACACGTTTGGAGTCTGCTGATGATCATTCACACAACGTTTTTTTCCCGCTCTGTGTTTGAGACATTTAACTTCTAATCTCATCGTGTGTGTGTGTGTGTGTGTGTGTGTGTGTGTGTGTGTGTGTGTGTGTGTGGGTTGTGTGTGTGTGTGTCGCGCTACAGCTGATTGAGAATGCAGCGTACACGTTTGAGCTGCTGCTCCACAAAGCCGTCCAGGACAACCCCAACAACCCCGGCCCTGCCATTGAGAAGGCCAAACCCAGAGTGCTCAAGGTCAGATTGTAATTTATGACCATCGGCCTCCATGAGCGAGCGCGAGAGAGAGGGGGGGGATATGGAAAAGAGAAAGCCCTCCCTGACATGAAGTGACGAGTCTCTCTCTCCCCTTTGCATCCTGCAGCAATACGACTACGACAGCAGCACGGTGAGGAAGAGGATCTCCAGGGAGGCTCTGGTCTACATCACTCTGCCCTTCATCAAGAAGACCTTGTCCTCCTGCAGAACTGTGAGTGTCCCACAACGCGCACACACATCTGGACCTACGGTCGACAAAGCTACCATGGTTTCAGAGCATGACCGGTGTGTGTGTGTGTGTGTGTGTGTGTGTGTGTGTGTGTGTCTTTCTTCACAGGAGCTGCAGGGTCTCGAGCAGTCAGTCTACGCCGAACACTCCAACTTCATTCATATTGAGAACATCTACGAGAGCATCCTCCTGGAATCTCTGGACAAGGAGGTCACCAAAGGTATTAGTTACACAGACGGTGACAAATCAGCAACACACACACACACACACACACACGCGTCACAGAGCTGCCGCTGATCCTCCCTGTTTTCCCCTGCAGTGGTGAAGGAGGCGGCCAGCCTGAAGAAGTACAACCTGTTCACAGACAGCAGAGACCTGCTCAGTCAGTCCAGCCGCTCCAGCCTCTCCTCCCCGCCCGTCTCCACTCCGGGTACCCCGGCAATGGAGCTCGCCTCCCTCCTTAAGACGTCGGTCGAGCCGCAGCCGCCGTCGCCTCTGGTGCTGAACGGCCCGTCGTCCGTCCTCCTGAGGGAAGGGCAGCCGGAGAAGAGCGTAAACTTGATGGACACGCCCCTTGTTGAGACGCCACCGGGGGTGATTGGACAAAAAGATGCACCTAAGATTGTCACAGTTGCGCAGGAGGCAGAGCCAACATCGCTCACGGAAGCCTTCCACACTGTGGGGGAAGCAGGACCCCCAACATCCACCGCGAGCGAGACCCAGATGGTTAAAGTGGAAGCGTCTCCAGAGACGGTGATCCAAAAGGAGGAGACCTCTGCAGAGCCAGAAACAACGGAGATGGCCGCTGAGCCTCAGGTGCAGCGGACGGATGCTCCGAAAGAGGCCGAAGTTGCGTTGCCGGAAATCCCCACGGTTGCAGAAAGCACGAAGACCAACGTGGAAGATGCAGCAGCACAGAGAGGAGCTCCTGCACCAAGTCGAGACCCTACTAATGAACCACAAGACCTTTTAACAAAGACCACTGTTTCTGTAACTACACCCAGCAGCGTAAAAGAGATGAACTGTGGAAACTCCGAAATCAACATAGAGGCTCCCCCTAGTGGTCAAACACCCGAACTCCTATCCGACATCCATCCCAGCATGGACATGAAGCTACTGGAGGCAGAACCAGTGACCGCCTCCGTGTCGGTGGGGAGTGAGATGGCCCCGTCAGAGGTGGAGTCCACGGTGGACATGAAAACCGCTCAGAACAGCGAGGACGAGGTCCCAGAGGCCTCCGGCAAATCACCGGTCAGCTCGGGCGAAACCAGGGGCGACGAGCCGTCCCCTCAGGCCCAGACAGAAGCCGCGAGGGAGGGCGGCGGCGGCAGAGACGCTGAGGCGGGAGCGAGCGTGGAGCCGTCAGCTGAGGCGGCAGATTCCGCAACCTGTCCGGCTGCTGAGCCCGCAGAGGAGGAGAGCCCTGAAGCCAAGCCCATTGGCTGCATCAAGGAGATCCGTGACCTGGTGGAGGAGGTGATCGAGGTGGAGGAGTTGGTGAAGCGCTATCCCTGCGGCGTGCCAAGAGAGGAGGAGGAGGAGGAGGAGGAGTGAGGCGTGAGGAACTGCATTACTGTGATTTCTTTCAGAAGAACGAGGGACAAAAATGATTCTGAATGTTCTGCTGAAGGGAACCAGATCATCACCAGGACAGAGCGTCGCGCCTCAAACCGTCCTGGAGTCAAAACATTTGTTTCCGAGAACAGAATCCGATTAAGAGAGACATCTGAGAAACATTCACAACAGCTTCCATGAACTTTTTTTCTTCTTTTTTTTTTTTACATATATGCATGACATTATGGTAAATTATTTATACAAATCTATATATCAGCTCTGCCGGGTGTCTAAAACGAAGATTCAGTAAATTCCTTTTCAAACTAGAATTATTTTTGCGCAAAAATGTTTTAGAAAATCTAGATTTTGAACTTTTATGTCAAGTTTGGGAAATTGCGTTATGCTGCCGTAAATTACTAATATATTTTAAAATGAGTAGTAAAGCATTTTAGAGAATATTTCTAGACGCTCTGACAGTAGGATGCGTAGATGGATGTTAATCCTGGTACCAATTCTCCTTTTATGAGCCAAAGTCAGAACGTTGTTAGCTTAGCTTAGCGGCCAGCTTGGTCCAGTGTGAAAATAACATTCCGGTCGCTGTGAAATACGGGCAGACATGAGATTTGTATCCATCTCTATATTTCAATCTATTTTAATTTCCTAAAATGACAAACTATTTCTTTAAACAAACTGGGTTTTAATTTGCTTAGGAATGACTGGAACCACCACGACGAAATTTCAAATTAAAGCTCTAATTAGCGATTAGAGATAACGAGCATTTCCAATGTATCTCACCACGAGGGGGGCGAGCAGCAGGCTGACGCAGTAAACGAGTTCCCTGGGTGGGGGGAGGTGGGGGGGTGCTTTGCTTCCACGGCGTTGTCAGCTTTTCCAGAGTATCGCAGAGTGGCGGCTATTTGCATTGTATTGTATTCATGCTGTGAATGTTAAATGCGGTTTCTTCAATGTGATTATTTTATAACCTGCTGAAGGACTTTCCTATAACTCTGAAGGAAACTAAAGAAGTAGCTCATCAAAATGCCTTTTACAGTACGTCCATGCTGCCTTACTTCACAAAATGAAGGAAACCCTCTTCCGTGGCGTGGAAGCGGTTGCCGTAGGAACCGGTCCGAGTCTCCGTACCTGTGCCTTTTTAACCAGTGTAGGCCGTCTTACACAAACGTGGTTAGTGGAACAGTTTACAGAGCGAGTGCAAGGAGAGACACTTGACCATTTACTGTCAACGGGATGAATGTTAACGGAAACATTGTGTGGAAATATTAAATAAAATATAAGTCTACAAAAATAAACATGGCCTCAAACTATTTCTGCCCGAACTCTCTGGTTTTGATGTTTGGAAAACAACACAAACAAATTTATTGCCCAGAAAAACAAATACAACATGAGGTTTGGATCATTCATTTTTTTTTGTCCACAATCCCAGATAAACAGCGCTGAGAATAAAAAAACTCTAAATAATCTTACATCTGTGACGTATTAAATCATAAATGCAGTTTGACTACAATGAGCCTTACATGTATTTGATTTAGTGCAGCATATATTTCAGAGAGCAAGCAGCGCTACAGGCACATCAAGGATAAGATGAGTACAAATGAATGATTTAACATCTCTGCATTTTTAACACAATGGAGGCTATTAGATTTCTTAAGTTATATTCAGAGAAATTAATAAATTATATCAATCCAGCTTCTAGTGAAACAGTGCTTTTTATTGTATGATGCTTTGTTTTTTGGAAATAGCCACGTAATTCGATACTAATTATAGATTATTCAGGTTTATGTGATGTGGAGTTAAAGGTTTGTGGATTTATGAGTAAGCGTCATTTTCCCTACAATATGAACCAAATTACAGTGATCTTCAGCAATCTCCTTTGGAAATCAACAAAAATATGAAACTGCAAGTACAACGTTATTTAACTATTTTGAATGCATAACGTGTGTGTGTTTTCCTCCCCTGAGCAATAGAGCTCCATTATAAACACATCAATGAGTCACGATGTTGTACTCTGTTAAACGCTCCTTCACCACTATGAATACACACTAGTTTATTTGACTGAATCACACGTGAAACATTGTGATGCCACAAGTACTCCGGGAAAAACATGTGGATTAATCTGCTACTGAAAATATTTCCCGAAAATGCATTTAATTCTGTCTGATATCTTTCCATGTATTTTCTTTTTGCCTGATGTTGGGTTTATGAACGCTCACATTACACGGGTTATATTCACAAAAGAAACATTCGGTTGTGTCAAACCTGACGGTAAAACCAGAAAAACGCACTTCAGTGTTAAATTGACAGCTTAGTGACAAAACAGTGTCATACAGTTAATCACAAAACACACAAATTAAGCTTCCGTTCACAGCATGGGTTCTTAAAATATTCAAATATTCACAAAATGTGAATAAAAGTTCAAAACTCCAAACCAACCTTCATATGTTTTTGTTTTAAGTGCATTCTGTTTATATAATATAACATGACACATGTGACCGACGGTTGTGAGGATGTGAGGATAATTCTTTCACGGTGCCGACTTGCTGAGCGATGCGTGCAGGGAAGAGGCGAGTTGAAGCTGCGCCTCCACGCTCAACACGCAGCTGTAGTGGAGCACACTGGGTGCAGTGGTGCTGTGTGTGAGAGGCTCCAGGTTCACCGGGAGGCCGTGTTGTAGTCGTAGAAAAACTCCTCACCGGGACGGAAGCCGTAGGCGTTGAGCGGTCGATCTACTGGGACAAACTGCTCCGACAGACTGAAAGGACAAGCGGAGGAATAAATGAATACAATTCAATACGTGACCCCTCAAAATATAAAACAAGTCTTTCACATGGTTATGACTGAAACGGAGACAATTGTGACGACGAAAAGCAGCAGCCAAGTTGGACACAAGCAGGAAAGGGTTCAAAGCGCGGCCTGCTTCCACGTCTCCGTTGGTGGGACCATTCGGTGGAGGTCAGAGGCTGTCAGCTGATCAAAGAACATGATGCAGCACTGATCCTTTCGAGAAGTGAGCACCAACGGCCAAGATAGCAAGTCAATTTAAACGCAGAAAGCGACTGGGAATTTTGTGACATAATTGAGTAGTTTCACTTACTTAAATATCCCTCAAATTTGTATTTCAATTATTTGTTTTTTTGTGTGTATTTTCTACAATAGTGAGCGCACAGTTTGCCTGTGCCTGTTTCAACATGAAAAAAAGCCCCCTCCAGAACAGGAACGTCAACTGCGAGGTTCAGAGACTCCAACCAGGTCACTCGTGCTCCTGAACGGGAGCGTAGAAAGCACCTGCACCACCACCAGGTGGAGCTCTGACACCGGACATCCCTGTGGAGCCTCCCCCCACACTTCCCCGGGGCTGGACCCATCAGTCATGCTGAAGAAAAAGAAAAACCTCACAAAAGTTAATGTAGTATTCATCTGCCCTGGTGCAGGTGCTGGACGTCCACCCAACGAGTGTGTGAGTTACAGGCAGCTAATGGCCGGAGGGGTAAACAGCGGAGCAGCCAAGCCGTAAAAACCCAAAACAACCCGGAAAGATGTCAAAACACAGCGGCGTGACGGAGGCCGAAGGCTGACGGCCAAACCTGGAGGACCTGGCCGCCCTGTGCCTGGCAACGGGAGGCCTGTAGAGGGGGGTGATAAAAGGCACCGTATCTGCACCGTGCAAATGGGTTACCGCGGCGATGCGGAGGGCGGGGGTCCAGTTTGACGCCCCATCTTCTGACCAGCTGCTGGGGGTTTGTGTCTGGTGTCGGCGGCGGGGCTCGGGGTCAACTGCAACGGCCCCCTTGCCACCTCGGCAGGATGCGGCGGTGGATGGGCGAAACCGGGGGCCCCGACGGACGACAACCACGTCCCCCCCCCCGTCTCTCCCTCTCCTCGCCGCTCCTCCCTCGCCTGTCTAAAATACGAGCGGTTTGCTTTGCCCCTGCAAGCGCCTATAATGACGTGTTGTTTTTAGCCAAATCACTTCCAGCGATCAGTTACACAGCTTGCAGCATATCCACCACCCCCTCCTCCACCTCCTCTCCATTTTAACTTCGCCCCCTGCTGCCCCTTACTCCCCCTCCCACCCCCCTCCTCCAACCACCATCTCTCTGGGCAGAAATATGTCTTTTTCCTCTCCGCACGCTACGGCTGTCAGGGGGGATTTGAGCGCGCGGCTAAAAGAGGCCGGAGGAACAGTGGAGCTCTGAGTCACAGCATCCGCCCGCCCGCCTGCACGTCTGCCTGTTTCTATGGCTGACTGGCTGGCTGGCTGCTCACGACTCGTATCCTGAAGTTCAGACTGGAAAGCTTTGATGGTTCACAGAATAGTAACTGTGAGCGTGCGCTACATTTAGATTATGGGCTGATCAGAAAAGGTGTAAATCATGAGTTTTTAACCTAAACCGTGAAGGCTATTAAATTCATTTTATACATAGAATTCAATTAGAAGATTTGGGTATTTGGGTATTTGAGTGTGCAGGTTCCAACCAGGTGAAACACATTGCGACTAGATTGTCTTAGTTTAATATTTCAGGCAGATTAAAGAAAGGCCTACTGAACATATTTATGTGCAATTTAAGTTTGTTCTTCACACTTCTGTCAGATCTATCTAGAGACCCTTAAAAGGGGGTTTGACAGACAGCTGACAAATCATCAACTGTCTGATTCAACTTCAAATGCAAACATTGACTCAAGACTGCCAATAAATTACAGGGATGTGTAATAAAATGTTGTGTTTTCCTTTGCAAAATGTAGATTAACATTTAATTTTGGAGATTTTGAAGAAGTTGAAGCTAGCAGTTACAAGCGCTAATGATTGACTAGATTGTTTCAAGATTAGTGATGAAACCAGAAACTGCCATTTTGACCTGAGCGGCACTCCGAAGGAGAACCATGAAATAATACTATGAAAACTGAACCATTAAATATGGTGTAACTTTTTCTACAGACCCACTGGCTCTAATGTCGATCTGGAGTCAAATCGTACTCCGGCGTCAACGGAAAAGCTCCCGTCGCCGGCAGAAGTTCAAAAACACTGTGACTGAGGAAATGTAATTCATCCCACCGGGTAAGTGATGCTTTTTAATCACGCTTTGATTTTCTTTTTCGAGCCCTGTGGTTCTGGACGCCATGAATGACGGCCGACACAGCTGCTGATATTCCTCATTATGATACATGCAAATCAACCTGTCTGTCCCCCGCAATTCACTTCACGTGTGTCAGTGTGTGTCGAGACACGCCGGCCAAATGAGGCGGGCGGTTGGGGGTCGCTGAGACAAAGGGGCCCCGGTGTTTCCACAAATGCCAGTTTGGCCCCAGAGGAGCGGCTGCAGGAGTCGGCGGGGACACGTCCCATCCCGCAGAGGACATTCCTTGGTGGCGAACAGGAAAAGGGAATCAGGCCTTTTTCCTCCTTTGGCGTGACCTCCACCCCACGTCCCGAACCCCCCCCCCCCCCCCCACACACCACTATGTCTGTCTACTGCAAGGCCCCCGCTTTGATCTCACCCTGCTGCCACTGCTCAGGTTACTGCTAACCAACACGCGGGTAAGTAACCAGGCCTCGCGTCCTCCACCTCCGTCCTCCCTGCCAATCTCAATGTCTCACCGGATCGCGGTGCCGCTTCTCCTTCCCCTTCGTATATTTTGCACCTTGCTACTTTCCTTCGGCGCCCCGTCACATCCTAACAGCCTCTCCGGGCTCTCAGTGATCCTCCCGTTGGCTTGTTTACTGGTGCACACTAGTACTAGTACTAGTACTAGTACTGTGTGCCACCACTCTTCTCAATTTAAACTGTGCATTTGTCCTCAAAGTGTGTGATTTAAAAATGGAATCAGAGCTGACTAATAATATTCAACAGAAAGATCGTTGGGCTGATGTCTCTGTGTCTCTTCATTTAATGCTTTGTCTAAATGATCAACTGTCCAGAAAATATTTATGAAAAATAAAACATCTAGAATTCTAACAAACTCCACTGGAACTAAATTAGCATAAATAAACATTTATAATACGACTGAATGTATATAATCATATATACTAAAGTCTCATAAACATAAAATGGAGTAGTGTGCTACTAGTATTATGGATATTAAATACATTTTTGAGTTAAAAAATCTGCTTACGAAGGATGAAGAAATGTGAATGTGAAGGACTGAGCAGCACCCTGTTCTAACTACTGACTCCTCTTCACGTATCGGTGAGATGGATGGATCCCTTTGCTCAGAATTGAACAATTAGTTTTGAGGACTTCATTTAAACATTTTTATATTTGCTTTGGAAGAATCTAAACTAGCGTTTCTTCACATATCACACATACTTTCCATTGATGTGAAGTCAGCTGATAATAAAGTTCATTGTATATAGTTCATTCTAAAATATTCATGCAAATAACAGTGATTGTACAGAACTACGTCCATTTATAAAAAGGCCCCATTCACACCATGTTTCACACGTAGCTTAAAATAGGCGGCTTGGATTATTATGTTAACCTGGATCACTCCAGAGTACAGCGGACAAATTAAAACAGTCTCTCAGACGGCGATTCCCCCGGCGCTCCCACTATATTTAAAAGGTCTCGGTTACGCCGCTGAGAGAGCGAGACTGACGGAATGAGAGAAGAAACAGACAATAAAGAAGAAAGTGAAGTGAGATCGGGATTCTTCTCTCGTTGGATTCAAGCTCTCAACAACAGCCAAGTGAAATATTCATCCTGGCGAGAGGAGGGGGAACAAAACAAAACTCAACACAAGCTTTATCGCACGCAAGTACAAGCTTGATAATAAATAAGACAAATTACTCACAATAAGCCACTATTTCCCCAACTATTTATCATCCCAGCGGCGTATCGAATTTCCTGCCTCGCAACACTGGGACCAGAAACGGACTCGCAGTCGCTCTTAGTGATAACAGGACTGATTTTTAATTCCCAGGCATCAGTTTCATGTTTCGCAGTGGAATGTCGGCGGCGTATTGGGACTAAAGTAGCTGATGTGTTGGAGCCAAAGAGGAATGAGAGAGAGAAACATGGAGACAGTCGGACAGCCGGAGAGTGTTTGTTCTCCAAGCTGGAGTACTAGGGTGGAGCAAGGCCTTCTGGGACCGGTGAGGCCTGTTGACTCAGGCCTGGCCTAATAACACAGATCAGAAAATAGTGATTCAGAAAAAAAACCAATACGAGGCTGCAGAGGTCGTCCGGGGGACGAGCCGACTGAAGGTAAACACTCACAGTTTAGTGTTTCCTCTCCTCGTGGACAGACACAACCTGCCCTGCTGACAGACCTTTGTTTTTGTGCCTGTGACTGCTAGCTTTGCTAAATATGCATATTGGCTGAGCGCCAAGCCTACCAAATGTCTTTTTTTAAATTTCAATAACAAGGAGCAACGTTCAACGAAATTCTTCTTTTTTTTTTGCTTTCACTATAGAAATTGTGGTATTCTCACTCAGCCAGAGATTATTTATTAGAGGAATAAAAAAGAGGCATCCCTCTCTACTACTAACCTTTCTTTGGCATTGCAAATATTTTGAATTGGAACACTGTTTTTATTCAAACTCTTTCCTAATTTGAAGGGCGACTGAAAGTAATAGTTAATGGAATTTAATCAAAATTGGATTGTTACATCAACCACGTCCTTTTTCTTTTCTCTTTCTGATTTGTCAGGGATAATCTGACTCGCATGCTGCCGTGTGTACGTATTATCATGGTTACTGTGCTGGGTGATCTTTCGCCATCGTTCTGAATATCGCTTTCCCGACCGGCTCCGTGAGAAGCACGTTGATTTAATAATAGTTCAAGGGATTGCATTCATACTAAAACCACATGTCTACCAGTCACACTGGTCTTTTGTTTAAATGACAAATGACTCACACAAAAGACAACAGACTGCTGCTACGGTTTGTTTGGTCCCAACTTTGACTGACTGACCCGAACACGCTGAATATACGCGGCACCAGAGAGAACGTGACCCAAACTAAATATGTGTGAAAGCAGAACTAGTTCTAATCTTCTAAAAATGATGACGTTTCTGTGACTGGATGTGGAATTAGATTGAGGTTTGGTGAAGTTGGGCGCTTGTGAGCTGAGCGCCGCGCTCCGTACCTGCTCATGTACCCGGTCGCTCCCAGCTCTCCGTCCTGGAAGCCGGTGTAGAACTCGGGACTGAAGGCCCCGTCTGCTGAGACGATCCCATCTGGATGAAGGAATACAAACAACACTGGTTATAAATGCGCATCAACGTTCGCTCTCAAGACACAAAAAGGCCTATAGGCCCGTTTTCCCCCCTGATCTAATGACCTATTTCCTCAAAGGCCTTGACAGCGCCGCTGTAGAACAGGTCGGGTCTCTCCAGGATGTCCCCGTCCCCGATGAAGGATTCTTCGTCCTCCCCGTACAGGAAGGGCTCTGTGGCCTCATCCAGTGGACGGTTCTCCACCATCTCCAGCCACCGACAGTTGTACCAGCGGAACTTCTCGTTCTGGATCTTCTTCCCCCACTCCTCGTCCAATTCCTGCAGCGGTGTTGGAGGGCAGCGAGGTTTGGGTGGAGGGAGAAACAAAGGAAAAGACACATTTTTGTTTTACTGCTGTGGAGTCATTTGTGTTTTGAGAGCTTGACACTGTAAAATTGTGGTTGAAGGACACCAGACTGGCGGCTGAAGCCTTGTTCTGTTCTGCAAATAAACTCCACATTTTTATGCCTTTTTGTAGCGTTTACCGATTGAATGAAACAAAAGCCTCATTCTCGAATCAAACCCATTTCCTCGCTCTCGCCCTTATTAGTTTTTGGTCTCTGGTGAGGACGACTGGCAGCGGCGCGTGGATCTCTTAAAAAAGGAAGTTAATGCCATCTCAAGGCGTATTAAGTAATACGTTTCCATCCGCCTTCAATAACTCTAAAACCTCAGCGAAGCATAAAAACAATTCGGATTCTCCTCCCTCCGTCTTCGCCACAGCTTATGAAAACCCCTGTTTGCGCTCGGAGGCCGGGCGGAGGTCTGTTTTCTTTTCTCTGCGGGGGCTGAAGGGGCAGCGATAAAGGCGGCCTTTGAGACCGCGACGCCCGGGGCCTGAAAGATTAATCACTCAGATGCAAAGCAGAGCGGCACTGACAGCCGGCCGAGACCCCGGGACTCAAACGGGCCCATTGACCGTCGCGCACAGGGGCCCCGCCCAACACCCCTGGAGGTGGCAGTGACACATTTTGTCCACGTGCTGATTCCTAACAGGCCTTGACTCAGGTTTTCACAGAGAAAATGTGCTCTTTCATTAGCGAGCTGATCAGTTTTTAGCTGCCGACGTCATGACAGACGCAGTGAGGAGTTTTTGCCATCTTTTCAACTTATTCCTTTTGGAAATGTGGCCGTGCTAAGAATACGCCGCTGTGAATTAGGCCTGTGTTCCACTTGGAGCATCTACAAAGTTCCTTTGCGAAGCAGCACGTGTGTGTGTGTGTGTGTGTGTGCGCGCCTGTACATGAGCAAGGCCACGATGATCAAAGGCGAACATCTCCAGACTGCACCGTTATGCCGTGTGCTGCCTAAAGGATCCCGCCCAGTCGAGCAGTAATGACTGTGTGTGTGTGTGTCCACGGCTCTGCTTTCTCTCCCACCTCTGCTGTCCAGCCGCTGACACACTCCAGAGCCCACTGGCTGCCTTTCATGTGGTTCACAGTTTAATAGGTCTCACTGATAATTTCAATGAAACACTTCCTTTGCCCCGCTACACTGCCTGGCTGTAATCTACAGCAAATTACGCTGATCTGAGGTCTGGCAGTGATCACCCACTGACTGCGAGCTGACTACACCTGTCAGTCACGAGGTGATGCCGCAGTCCATCGGCCCGTTAATGTAAGACGTCAAATGGGACACATCGGGAGAAAGGGAGAGCGTTTGCCTAAAAGGCCGGAAAAGGTCAAAAGGCTTCGCGTTTGAATAGAAAGTGCTGAATAATACAGTGTACTGGAAGACTCTTTTAATCTCTTTTAATTGGCATGGAATTACACATCTAAAATGTTATATTTCATTCCGTGACTTGCAGCAGTTGGATTTTAAGTCTCTAATCTGGATTTGTAGAACCTCCTATCCGAGGCTGCATTACCAGGCAGTGTGAGTCCAGGTCAGTGCACCTCTTTAGGAAAATGTATTTTTTTATGTCTACTATAGAACTTTGTGAAAACTATTAAAAAAAGAAGCGCATCAGTTCCTGCAGCTGTAGTGTGGGAATGTTACTCATGAGACACTGTTGGTTACTCACAGCGATGATATCCAGCGTGTTGTTGCAGACTTTGCGGATCTCGGCGTTGTTATCGTGCATCAAGTCGATGAGGTACGCAGGCGCTACTGAGTTTGGGACTCAAGGAAAGAAAACATTACAATCTCTCTGGGACGATCCAACGTTGAATCAATTATTTTGTCCTTCCCTAATCAGTCGCAAGGGAAACGTTGGGGACGCGGTGGAACAACCGCTCCCACTCTGTCATTTGAAGACAAAGAGGCCGGAGACAGGTACCCTGCGGCTGAAGGAACCGCTGTCCGTATTTGCTGTGATGGAGTGAGCGCCTTCCTCCCACAGCGTTGCATAAATCAGATATTCGCATAATATTCTTCTTGCAAAAAGAAAAACATCAATCAGAACGTGCTGACAGAAAGCATATTTGTAATTTGACACAAGCCGCCACCGACCACAACTGTGTACAATTACAGGCTGCTTAAAATACCCAGAGGGTAAAAAAGAAGAAGAAAAGAAACAGGGGTTAAAAGAGGTTGCTATGGAGAGGCAGATGTGACCAACGAGTGAAGATACCTACAGTGCAAAACTAAATCTTAAGTATTTCTGGAGAGAATAACTCCGCAGGAAACTACAGTGGAACGGTCTTTAAAAGCATCTCTAAACGTGTATTTCATCCAATGCGAGAGAAATGTCTGGGATGCTTTGCACAGAGGATACGCGTGTCTTTGACGATGACGTCCCTGGTAGCTTTGTGGAAGACCATCTGGTAGAAGACATAGACGATCTGACAGACAAACTCATCGTCCTCTTGTCGGGCTGCAGGGGAAAGAAATGAAATGAAACATTTAAAAAGTAGACGACGTCACGTGTGTCCCCCATCCTGACTTCATTTATTGAATTAATCACTGCTGTAAGGAGCAAATTGGCAGGCGTTAAGCTAAGGCTAAGGCTAAGCAACGTGTCAAAAATAAGTTCATGTGTCTTGACACTGTGGAAAAGCTCAAATTGATGTGTATTTCAGGGTCGTGGCAATGTCACATCTGTTTTGCAAAATGTCTTCTGAAAATCTAATGAAGGTCAAAAGTGACTATAAACATAAATTAACCAATGTATATATTGTTTTCTGCTTTGGAGGTGTGTAGTCCAATGAGGCAGCAATATGATCATTGTTCATATTACTCCTTAAGATTCTAAAATGCACATTTAATTGTGATCATTTAAGGGAGTTTACCTAAATAAGGTAATACTTTTTAGGTAGATCAAAGACTACCGCTTTTAAAGGAGCACACCAGCAGCTTAGTGTTGTACTTTATTAAAGTTGGGGAACTTGCAAAACTAAAAAAGACTAAAAAATAGAAGAAGTTGGTTGATGTCATAATGCTTTGGACATCTGAAGTAGGGTTTGGTTCTTACCGTTGAGCAGCTCAATTAGTGCAGGAACGAGCCCAGACTTTGCCAACATGGCTGCACACGAGTCGTCCATGGACACGGTGCCGATCATGATCACCACCTCCAGAATGAGGTCATCCTCAGCCGAACCTGAGATCAGGAAACATTTTTCTTTTTCAGGATCAATAAATAGCTCATGGACGGTTCAGTGGCAGACGCCGGCGGGCTGGAGGTTACTGAGGATTGCACAGAAATGTAAAGTCATTCATTCTCTTGCATTTGGAAATATGATCAGATTCTCCGTGCGGCATTAAAGCTCAATGCATATCATGAGGCCTCGACATCGAGACAAACTTCAAATAAGCCAGGGTTCTTGTTTTAGACGTCAGATAGGACTTTACTTGTCCAACATTTGGACTTCATGTGAAAGCAAAACGCCAAAAAACCTACAGAATTCTAATGCACACCAAACATTTCAAAAGCATTCCAATTAAAAAAGCTAAATTAGAATAATGACACAAAATATACCATATTGACACACTGGAACACGGGACACCTGCAACGAAACCTCTTTATTAGAGCTGAATGGGCTCTTCATCAATTCATTCAATGTTTATGGTTAACTACAAACAAAACTGATGAGTGATGTTACCTGGTTTGAGTCTGTCATTCAGGTAGGGCACCAGGTTGTACTCCTTGAGGACCAGCGCCCAGTCCAGGTCGGGGATGGTCAGATTGGCCAGCGTGCCCAGACACTCGATCACAAACTCCTCCGGCTCCTCCTCACTGATGTGAGCCGCCAGGTCCCCGACGTGTTCCTACCAGCAGACGGACAACTAAAATGTGTTACTTTTGGTCACTTTGCAAATAATGAAACCATTGACGAGTAAACTCCACTATCAACTTTAAAGGTTTGACATTGCTTTTCATTTTAAAACACAGGATTGTTTTGGAAGACAGAGTAGTGACCAGGAAGAGGCTCTTGGTGTGTCCGTTGTGCTGAGAAAGGTTTCTGATCATCTTCATCACCAGAACATCCTTCAGCTTCACGGCACGCTTCATCAGCATTTTCAGACCGTTGCCTATGGCAACAAGGAGGTAAGCTCATTTTTGAACTTGACGACGTGAGTGGCATAAAATGCCCTTTTCCACACATTTTGCGTTGAGCATTGCTCCGGAGCTCCTACCTTCACAGATGAGCTTTGAGTTACTCTTGTTAGCAGCCAGGTTGATGCAGAGCGAGATGAGCTCAACATCCATCGTCTCCTCGCCACAGTCAAACACCATCTTCATCAGCTGTTGAGGTCGCAAATGTCAATTAACCGCTTAAATGATTTGTCACTGAGAATAAAGACAGACTAATCCATAAAACACAAGCGCAGTCGTGTTAAAAGTACATGGCTATATATCAGTAATTCAGTGTGTTTATTGAAGTATTTCTTTTCCGATGGGAGCTAAAAAGGAGCAGTTGTGTGTGCATGTTTGTGTTCCTGGTTGTAAAATGTCATTGTGATGATTATTTATGTCGAGATTTAAGCCCCGGGGAGTAAAAAAAAGAAAATCAGATTATACATATTTTCAAACAGGAGTGAGCTTTTGAGTAAAAGCGCAAAAGACAGTGTGGATGCTGAGATGCCTTCATTTCTAACTTCTCAAACACCTCCTCGCCTCCGCCTGCCTCTCCCCTGCACTGATTTAACATTAAACAGGAAAAGCTTTAAGCAGAGGGGGGGGGGGGGGGCGGGGGGCAGGAGGTGCGCTGCTTCCCTGTGAGGAGTCAGGAGTCAAAGAGAGGCTGGGCCGGGACTGGGTAAGGTATCACATACCAGGGGCCCCGGACCCCAAATCAGCCCCGTCTAGACTCTCTGGCACCTGCCTCTGCTTATTTACCACAGACAGCCACCGGAGGCCCAGCCAGGGCCCAACGCCACGCTGCAGTCCAACCAACGCAACCACCTCCACCCCCCCACCTCCAACTCAACATCCACTCCTCTCCTCCCTCACCCCTGGCATCCCTGCTCTGGAAACCCCACATCCAGCACCAAGCTGTGACCCCATTAAAAGCTGAAGAAGGGGAAAGGAGCAGGTCAGCTACTAGCCTGGGAAAGTTATACAAGTGAGAAGGAATTAGGTAGAGGGGATGAAAAGGTGGGAAATGGAGTGAGGCAGTTTTGCTGAGGATGGAGGGACATGTAAATAATATGTGTGAAAATACTGTTTACTAAATTCTATGAAAAACGTTGTAACGAACAGCCAAAATTGTGTTTGAAAAGAGGAAATCTCCACAGCTGCGTGGTCACAGTAAACATTTGTTGAGCAGAGGGACAGACTGTCTTCTGGTCAGCCACACTTGTTGTCAGCACACTGAAGATGAACACAAATGATGATCCGACCTCTGTTTGATAAGAAGAAGCTACCTGTGCACCAGGTGAGCTTTAGCTCCTCTTGAGCTGCACTTCTGTTTTTCTAATGTTATCAGAAAATGATCAGTATCAGCCTTAAAGGTAATGTGCTCGCTAAAGAATTCAACTCCTCGTGTTTATAAATTATTCAAATTAGTCGTGACGTCTTTACATTTACTGACAAACAGCTTCTGACCTATTTTAATGCTTCAAACAGCATGGTTTTCCTCATTGACACTAAAACAAGACTAAATTCTGATCTACATCGCCTCCCGATTAATGTGACAAGAGGTAGCAGAGGGTAGTGAGGGGGCGGGGCGGCGGGGAGTGAGCGGGCCTCAGGGCGGGGTCGGAGGTCACATCCTGGTCATGCTGCTGGCCAGCCTCCTTTCCACCACACAGGGGAGTCTGGGGTTCAGATCGGCCGCTGACGTGACCTTCTGAACAAACAGCCCACTCCCCCCGGTCACATCTGGCCAGCATTTACACCCAATCTCAACAAACAAACACAACGCACATTTAGCTAATCGCCGATGATGAGAGGAGCGACTGACCGGGTCAACTCAATCAGGAGGGAGTGCAACTCAACAAAAATGTTCTGATCGAAAGTTGGAAGAAACGAGCCTGAGGGCATTGGGAAAGTAGGCGGTAAACTCCATGTTCAGTTTTACTGTGCCAGTTTAGCAATGCTAATTAGGAGTCGAATATGCGGGGGAAGATTTAGGAAAAGGATGAAATGGCAAGAGATGGAAAGAAGGAAAAACAGAGGTGTCGTCACAGTGAGACCAAAGACCCGGGGGGGGTTTATGGTTCCAGAAGTGGTGCGCGTCCCTTCCTCTCCCTCCGATTCCCAGGCATTAAACTCCCGGGTGCCGTGAGCCGCTGATGCCAATGTGTCCGCCTGCGTCTGGTGGTATCGTACATTAGCCAGTCTTACCTGCGGTATGCAGTCTGTGTCGGCAAACATGGACTTGAATCTGTCGTCCATGCTGATGTGGTACAGAATGCACATGCTGAGCTGTCTCTGGGCCTCGTCAGCTGCAACATAAACAGGAGGAGGAGGGAAGTCAATGGATGAATGACTGGTTGTGCCGTAACGCTCCGCGGGATGCCAACGACCACATCTAGGTGAGTGGTGTGTTTTTCAAAAGTATTAATGAGCTGAATGGCCTTTTTAACAGCGATTCCTGTTGGAGGTCAAATGGCATTTCGGTGCATCAGTCAACTGCAGTTTCTCAGTTTGTGGCGTCTCACCAGAGGAGAAGACTATTAAAAGATTAAATGTGGAACCGCCGAGGGATCTTTGAGCTTTCCATGCTGCATAAATGGACAAAAGAAAATGTTTATATTCTCTTATTTACGAAATGTGTGCTGCTTTTTGGTATATCCAGAGCAATGGAAGTGAATTAAGTTAAGTTAATACGTCTGACCAACTAATTCCATGTGCAGACAAACAGTGAATGTATTTTCTCATAAGGGTTACATCTTCTGCCTGTGCGCTATTGAGCTATTAAAGCAGTTCAAACTGTTGTTAATGCATCCATGTGTCACACTGTTCATACTTTACCACAAACACACACAAAAAGGGGTATGTATACACCATAGTTCATTTTGGTTTAATCCACCATACAGTCTCCTTCTACACCAAATGTGGATTAAGCCGTTCTTCCTTTTTTAGTCATTTTCTTTTTAATTAAATCATATTATTGCGAACTATTTCAAAAGATGACATCTTCAGTAGGAACCAATGGGCTTTGAGATAAGGGTCGCAGAGGAAGTCATGACTGTCATGCTTCTGGTTTGGCTCTGCGCAATAAGAAACTATCCCTCCAGAGACAGTGACCCAGTTACCAGTAGGGATACTCCACAGATTGCAAACAGTTTACATCCTGCATGGATAGATACTGCCAGAAATGAACAAAGTGAATGTTTATTCTTTGTAATTTGGGTGAACTGACCCTTTAATATGTGTCATATAAAATGAGCACATTCCCCGTCACTACACTTTTGTGAGCTTATCAAAGCTTGGGAGCAGCATGGAGGAGATAAAGACAGAATGGATTGAGTGTTAGACTGTCAGTGAGCCCAGGACCTTCATGAGTTTGACCTTTGACCAGAGGTTGGGGGCTGGAGGCCTGGAGGAGGAGCCAGCCAGCGGGGATTAATAGAGTTCAGACCAGAGTTTGACCCGGGAACTTTTCATGAAGAGAAGTGTTAAGAGCGAGGCTCTTTACTGGACCAGAACTACCAACAGACCTCCTGTAATGCCCACCGGCCTCCAAATCCCCAACCAGGTCCAGTTAAAACCGGTCCCAGCCGTGTGTTGGGTCACTGGGAGCCTTATCGCTGAGTATAAGATCCAGATGTGCTCGGTGAAGCCCTGGAATCACAGGAGGGAGAGACGGCTTCTAACTTTAATTGGGAAAACAGGAGGAAGCATCAATTTTACTGCATTTAATAAGTTAAAGCTACGCCGCTCGCTGCTCTGGACCTTCCAGCGCACCCGGCGATTGGCCCGAACATGTGCTTCTCATTAGCGAACCTTTACCTCAACCAAAACCCTGAAATGCACATGAAAACAACAAAGCATGCACGCACACTCGCACGGAATAAGCGCTTGCAAACCGTGCAGAATTTCTCACTTTACTGGTAGGAACATGGAGGATCCTTTTATAGGGGACGAGAGGGATCCCATTAAATGTTCAAAACACTGGTTGACAGAGGAGAAGAAAAAAGAAAGGTGAGGGGGAGCTGTTAAGAATTAACTACGACTGTTCAGGGGCAGTTAGTGGGCAAGCTAAACTCCAATTACACCCCAGCCTGATTTAAAACCGCCCGACCTTCATAAAAATTACCCGCGCACGCATTAAGAGGCGTCTGGGCTTGCCTTGCCGACAGCAACGCGTCGCTGTTATTGTATTTTCTGGATAAATAAGCAAGCCGGGGTGGGTCTTCAGAGACATCAAGCACCACTTAACAGGGTGAAATGCTCTTAAAGAGGCCCCCACTCCCCCACTCAAGTCTCATAGCTTGTTTTTGCAATGTCATGACAGTCAAAATGCTCCTGGGGTGAGAAGATGTTTTGTAATTCACGGTTTCAGGGATGAGAGAGAATTATCTATTTCTGTTGTGGTATTTAGGAGATACAGGTGCAGACTGGGCTTTTGGTCCATGTCACTGTGTCATGACTGTTGGGCTCTAAGACCCTCATATATTTGGTCGTCCACTTCACCGAGTGGATCTGTGCTGAAGTCTAAATTGACTCGGGCAGATGACGAGATAGACATTGCGCTGGCCTTCTCATGGGTGAAAGATGTTGTTATCATAGATTTCTTGTGCTGCTGTCAAAGAGGAATCTTCTACTTCCTGTTGGTTTCAGGTGGCGGTTGGATGCATCGGGTGGCCGGTGATGATGACAAGTGGAGGCTCCCCCCTCCCTCCCACTTTCATCTCATCATCAGGGGTCATGACCCCGGTCGAGGTCTGGATAGAGAGAGCGGAGGCTGGCCGACCCGAATCCTCGCTGTCGTCTCTCTTTAGAGATAAGACCTCGAGAGTCCTCATGCAGAGTGCGTCAAGCGGAAAGAGGACAGTCGGCAGTGAAAGCAGATGATTGATGACACATCGGCTCACATGCGCTCTGCATTAGACACATGCGCAAACATACAAATACGGGAAAACTCAACAGTGTCAAAACAGTGAGCAGGCGCAATATTTCAGTGTTAACTCGTATTACGTGTGCGCCTCGCTTCCTGTATGAACAGCCCCCGCCCCCGCCACCCCCCCCCCAAAAAAACGCCCTCTTTAAATCTCTGAAGACCTCCCCACCTCTCCGGCCTGCTCCTGCAAAAACAACATTTGTGCAGAGGCTCTGGCATGTTATTCTAACAAATATATTATATTAATTATGCACCGTTACCCGAGCCTCCCCCGGAGAGGCTTCAAACGGGCCCTTCAGAGATGCTTCAGACCGTGTCCCACATGACCTCGCAGATGAGACGACGCGCGCTCGGCGGCGTTCAGGAAGTCAGCGTTCTAATGGTCACCAGAGGCGCTCTCGAGGCCTGGGCGACGCGTACAAGCTGCAACTGCACGTTCGCCTGTCATAACAAGGCACCTCCGGCGGCTCGGGATGGATGAGCGTTTTCCGGTGCAAACACATCCACGGGAACAAACACAATCAGTACCCTTGTCGGATGGATTACCGAGCAGTGAGGAGACTTTGGGAAGGAGTCCTGTCTGGACCATCTGGCTGCGCAGCGTCGTGTCGAAGGAGAGGTTGAGCAGCAGGCGTAGGTTGGTGCTCAGGAGCTCCTGGTGATGGCAGGGAACCAGCCGAGCCAGCTTCTCCACGGCCAAAGTTTCAGCCTGTGGATGGACGAGTGGACTTTTGTAACATAACATAACATTTAGAATGAGTATAATTGAATTCTGGGGTTGCATTGGTTCTCCCATCACTTGGCTGTATGTACAACACGGGAGTCATGTGATTCACAGAAAATTTGACCACTTATTTCATTTATCTATTTTTAAGATAAAAAATACCAAGATGATGTCATAGAAAGGGATACTTTTTTCAGAAGGTAAAATACAATAATCAAGAATTGATAGTTTTTTTCTGGAATATGCAGCCCTAAAAAAAAAGACATGAAAAGAAAAACACTTGAATCAGAAAAACACTATTTGTTTCACTATAATAACAATGGACAACTCTGAATTATCTCTGATATGATTCTAAACATCTGCTTTGAACACTGAAATGTCCATGTTTTAAATCCTGGTGTCCAGCTGGGCGAAGGTTCACATGACCTACAGGCAGGTGGAGGTGTTGAGCCGATGCCCCTGAACACAACATCATGCCTGCCCACTCTTCGGGGGATCGCTGATGTGTGAAAATGTGACCGGCGTGGTCGCGTTTGGACTGCGCGCCGCCACTGTGAGTGTCAGACGGACACAGCGGCGCTCGTCATGCTCGTCTGTCTCCCCTCTCCTGTGGTCTCCCCACAGCCAGATATCACGGGGACTCAACCTGCTCTCATTTAAAAAAAAAAAAAAAAAAAAAAAGCACTCACTGCTACTGTGTGCGAAACCAGCTCCAGTCGCACCGTCACAAACCAGACCACGAGCAGCATAATCAACTGCAGCCCATGTCAATTACCACTGACATTCCCCTTTCATTAGTGACAGGCTAAGCGTATCAGGCGGTGTTGAAGTCTTATCTGGTTTGGAGAAAGATGTGTTTGCTGAGTAAATAAAACTTGATGACACACAGCATCATTAAGTGATGAATGTTTTTCTTCTCAATTAAACATCTGTGCGTTTAAATGGAATCCCTTTCCCAATCGTGTAAAAAAACTGATATTCTTAACCACTATTTCCCTGCTGGCCACATGCTTTAATGGGTCCAGAGCCCCCGAAGGCTTCTTTAATCTGAATCAAAGATACACTGAGGGGGAAACAAAGAGATAAGACCAGTTCCTAACAGGGTCTGGCTTTGATAAAGAACCACAGACTGAGAGAGATTGGAACCAGGTGGGGTCAGATTAGAGGAAAAGTCCACGCCCGTACGAGTGCCGTGGGACACGTGGCCAAAAGCGGACCTTCTGAGCATTTATTGAATTGAAATTTGATAAGCGTGCTTTCTACAGCGGAAAATCCATTTGTCAACATGGCTTTGGGAGTGTTGTACAGAACAAATGAAGACTAATGGTTTCCTCTACATTTCACTAATGGAGTTTAAATATCCCGAAACAACCCTTGTTAAAGAGCTCATTCATTAGAGATCTCATTTTAGAGATTGGCAATGCTAGTCTGAAACATCTCAAAACAACACAGAAACCACGCATTTCAAGCGATGAATAGTTTAGTCACCATGTCATTCTTGTTCTCCAGGAAGATGGAGAGCTTCTTGAGGAAGGAGACCACCAGCAGCAGCAACTCCTCGTCTTCCCGGTCCAGGATCTTCACCAGCGTGTGGACAATGTTTTTGTTCCTCATCTTCAGCTCTGTGCGGGTGTCTTCAGCCAGGTTCAGCAGCAGAGACAGAGCAACTGGGGGGGAGGGGGGGGGCAAAGGCGCCAGATATCACACAAATCTGTCGCTTATATTATTGTTAACGACCAAATGATAAAGACGAAGAACATTTGGGCTGCACTGGGGGTCTGAGAGGAAAAACAAAACTGACCTAGAAACGCAGTGGGCAGTCTGGAGGCACGGCAAATTCAATTATCTGCCCACTGACCCTAAATACACCAAATATCTACAAGAGGTCAGATAAGTTTCATCATGGGGTAGAAGGTTTCCACTGTTACCTCGGAGAAGCTGCTCCTGCTTGGTCAGAAGGCTCTGGTACTTTCTGAACGACTTCTCATGTTCCTTCTTCAGATTTGGGTTATCAGGAAATTCTTCATGTGAGATCAGTCAAGGAAATCAGATGTACACAGCAAACATTTAAACTGTACCAGGATAATCAAGCTACTACAATTATTGGGTTACGTACACAAAGTATTTCTCCGTTGCGTGAGGATATAGGCCTTCTTCTTATCTTGTAGTTCGTCCTGCCACAGGTCGTACCTCTTCAGCTCGTGCTCGATGATATTCATACAAAGGGCCCCGATCTTGAAATTTGAGACCAAGCCATGGAACTGGGAGAAACTGGATGAGAAAACGAAGAGGTAATGAGAGCGAGAAAGAAAAAGACTTCCATTTATCTAAAAGTGTATTTTCAAAAAAGGGGAATTGGGGATTCCAGCTGGGAGCTGTCATTGAAATGACCCCATCCGTCACCCCTGAAAGTAGTTTACAAAGTAAACTGTCAAACTCAAAACACATTCAGTCAAACAGTGTGTCCTGGTCCGACTTACAACCGGTCCAACTTGAACCCTTTCACAATCCAAACAATATAACACGGAGATGGACGCGAGCCAAGAGCGACGATCGGTTTTCAGACATACGCGTCCTCTCGCTGCCCAAATCAGCTCTGACAGACGTTTATGTATTATTCTAGCGAGGGCTAATTTTAGGGTTCCCTAACCCCCAGTTGGAGAGTGAGACTTCAGTACTAGGTACGCTGCCAGAGGTGGATGACTACTGTAAGTAAAGGAGAGAACAGGGTAAAGGGAAGAGCGCACAGTCGCTTCAAATGCAAAAAGACCATCATGAAATATTTATAACAAGGTATTTGGTCCAAAAAAAAAATCATATTTCTATATTTCAGATCGCCCGGGTGTAGTGAATCCCAACAATTACAAAAGCTCTGAATGTAGTCCACAAAAAGGATGGACTAGACTGGATGTCTGCGTTCCAGTACACGTGCGAGTTGGTCATTGCAGGAATGGCCACATGACCAAATTTACACCGTGCAACAGCCCCATGCAGCCACTCTATACTTGAAATATTTTTTTAAAGTAGCGAGGGTTTTCCAAAAGGTTTTAAGACCATATGTGAATAGAACTTTGGAGTGAAAGGACGTCCTGATGTGTTTGAAGTGCAGGTTTACCTGGAGAAGCAGAAGAAGACAGAGATGATGGTTGTTGCCAGGTCCACGCTCTGCTTCCAGTCCTCCCTCAAAACTCTGGCCAGGGCTCCGAAGGCCGCCTCTGCAGACACACAAACACGTGTCAATAAAGACACACATACTGAACATGCACACAAAAGGTGCTCATGAAAAAAGTCAAACAAAAAAAAGAAAAGCCAAGTCAAAGAAGGACCACATATGTCAGAAGAAAGACGAACGGGTGGAATTCAATCAGTCAGACTGAACGGTGCAGCTGGAGGTTGATTTAAAGAAGCGTGGGGGAATGCGATGAGGTCGGCGGCTCCTGGGGGTTTTGTGCTGTGGGGGAATCTCATTGCAGGGACGTGTGTCCCCGGGTTCGTCTCCTCTTTCCACGTCGACCCCAGGCCTCTCGGTTCACACGAACACTCGGCTCTTATCAACATCCGACCGGCTGATGCGGGCCGGCAGACGGAGTGAGCCGCCGACGCATTGTGACGGATACAAATGGAGCCGTGCCATCTCACCGCGACTGCAGAGGATGAGGGCTCCGTGCTGTTTCCCAAGAAACTGCGGGTGTCACGGGGGGGGGGGGGGGAGCAGAACTGAAGGCAAGCTTTGTTTTCTTTGAAAGGGGGAGCGGAGAGGACGAGCTGATGAAAGCCAACGGATTCTGCACTCAAGCGATGTTCATTTTTTGTCAAACACTGCCCTTTCATCCAACTTCGTCTTTTTGCTTAAGAATTTGGAACGTGAGTGAGTTTTGCACTTTTGAACTGTAGCGTCTTTCCAGAAAATAAATAGACTGAATAATTAAGAATAAAAATTCCTCCTTGACCTTGATCCTGGTTTTCCTCTGCACATGTTTTGCTCTGTAGTGCCATATTATGACAGGGTGCAACATCTCCCCGCCGCAAACGACCACAAGAGGAAACTCCATCTGCAAATCCCCAAAAACCTCAAAAGTAGGCGATAGTTTTAGGGATCAAGTTGTACATAACCATCAGGTAACTAGCTAATTCCTTTAATAGCTGGTTAGGGCTGAAAGCTGTCTACCGCTACAGTTTGTAAATGGACAAATATGCACTGGCTAACATGTTGCTGTTGCAGATGATTAGATATGTATAACATGGACCCTTTATGGACCTTTGTGGTCCCCTGGATGTGGAAACTATAAACTGTGCTTAGCTATTCCTTCATTCATTAGTAACTGAAACGTGAATGAATCTATTGATTTAAGCTATAGTCACGTTAGCACGAGAAATGTCTTATTTATTTAGCACCCCAATGGATAACAGTGTCAATTCGATAGATTTGGTATCGGGACTGAAATAAGTTTCTTCGCTGCCTGATGTTTAGCCGGAAAGTCCACAGCTAGCAGCAATTTGATTTGCACGTTGAAATAATTGATCAGTGATATGAAGCTTACGAGATTTGTAATGCAAACTTTTGTTTGTCCACAATTTTTGACTGACCAACTGAGCAACCTGTCAGAACAGAGAGATTTGATTGGTACCAAGCTGGTGGAGCCATTTCCTTCGGAGGAGATAACTCAAAAAATCTTTTGCACATATGCTGTTAATCAAAACAAATATGGAGAATCAACATATTGATGCTGGTATTGAGCATGTTATTAAAATTTCTACCGAGGTTCTGTATTTCTGGACGACGAGAAAGAGAATGGAGACGAGAGAACAACAGATAATTGTTTTGTTCACCAGTAAAGTAAATCTGCCTTTCACAGGGCAGGGTACCTTTCTGCGTGAGCTCCTCCAGGTTGTCCGGGTTGCGAGCCAGTTGGAAGATGAGCGTGGCTCCTCTGATCTTCTCCTGGATGTCCTCATACAGAAGGTCCACATACTCATCGATGCTGTTGATGTTTGCCACTTCGTCCAGCTGAAGGGAAATTAAGGAGTTCAGTTGGGACTCTGAACTGTGCTCACACACTCACACACACACACACAGTACTGTGTACCATACAGCTCAGTTCCTACCTCCACTCCTGTGTAAGGTGTGAAGTCTCGAGATGAGATGCATTTCTTCTCCTGGATGTCTGTGAAAGGCAATATTCAGCATCACAAACAGGCCTCTTGTGACTTTTACTCTGACCCTATGAACACAGCCGTAGTCATGATGAAAATTACCATTTGATTGTTTGCGGTTTTGCAAATAGAAGAGCAGCTGCTCCACCTCGTGGAGTTTGGACGACTGAATGAGCCGACATTCCTCCACCACCTTCCGGGCCAAAGAGGACGTGTCTGTGTGGGCGTTCAGGCTTTTCAGGCGAATACTGAAGGACAAACACATCGGCATGTATAATTACAGCTTTTGAGCGAAACACTTGGTTTCCAGATGCAAGGTATAAAATGTAATCAGGACACAGCAACAGATGATATTGTTGGAGTAAATATAATTTTTGATTGTGTAATTATAATCCTACAAAAAAACAACTCATTGCAATTGAACGTTGCATTTGCTGACTTGTTTTCTTTCTCACATTTTCTGACACTCTTTGCGTTCTCCGATCATAGGGTTCCCCAGCTCTCCCAACACAGTTGCCTCTACCTCATACTGGACCACAAGGGCTCTCTCAGTGGGGTGGACCTCTAGAGTGCATCCCTTCACTCTCCTGTGGGTCATGCAGAGACAAAGTAAGCATTGACCAAAGAGGAAACAGGAAAAACAATCGTCAGTGAACAGCACAAAAGTTGAATAGTAAGATCTTCTTAATGTTCAGTGTGGATTTATTCACTTTTGCCTAAAAGGGGCAAAGTGCTTTAGAATCAGCCGCAATTCATATGGATTCAATTATATAAATTATGAAATGTAACAACGCTGATTGAGTAAACAAAAACTAAAAATATCATAACCATAATCATTACTTTTGTTAAGATGATTTGTATAGCAGCAGCACATGTGTTTACGGGATTAAATGGCCAGTGTTGGAGAGTTTAAGCTCAATGAGAATGTATGAATGTAGTTGTGTTTTATTTTTTTATTGTGTTTGAGTCAAGATTTAGAAGTGTACCAGATGAGAACCATAAGACTATATTAACAACAGGTCTAAAGAAAACGTTTTGTGCAAGGAAAATCGAATGATGTGCGAATTTATTTTCGTATTCCAGGCCTTTTTGTGTAACACCTGTGAACCTGGGGATACGTGTTTTGTCATTTGTTCAAGCGTCGGGCATTTCCATTACAGTCACACCCAAGACAGACAGTTAGCTTATATTATGCTAGCTAGCTACTTTACCTTTTTAGTACCAACACAAAAATAAATATGAACGAACCCGTGTTCGCTGTTACCTTTTCAGATACCGCGGATCGCCCGCTTGCAAACTGTCCATTTTACATTCAAAGGGTAGCAAACGGGGCCGGTTGATGCTGACGGAGACAGGGCGGATGTTGTTTATTCTCTATGCAGCTGGTTGCCATGGGCAGCAACTCAGCCAGCTCCCAGAATGCAATGCAGTTAGCGGAAGCGAGGCGCCAGTGCTGCCACCTGCAGTCTCGGAGGACAAGCAGCAGTACAGAGAGGCTGAGCCATGAACGGTGGGTATTAACGTCGACATGTATTCGTCTATTTGTGGGTCCTTTTCTTTTCATACCACTTCTACTGCTAAAGTTAGACATCTCATTTGGAAATATTGTGTGTTTATCAATACTCTGCTGCATTTATCTGACAGCTTCAACATTAGTCAGTTAACAAATGGTTTTGGGTTGGGGTTATACAAAACATATGAGAGGTTTTCAAATATATGTTTTAATTGAATTTTCAATCTTCAATCAGCCATGCCGTTGCAGGGTTAGCACATGTGTGATATTTAACATGAGAGCCTGTTCCATTTAGATGGGGCCCTGCCCTGGTAGGGTGTACGCTGCCTCTCTATGGCACCGATACTCTAAATAGAATGGGGCCCTAATTGACTTCAACGAGCTACACCTGTGTTTAACTTCTATCCCGCTATGATATTTTGTTGCGATTGTGAAAAGGGCCTATTAGCCAATTAACATAAACATAATTAAAACTGGTTTAATAGCTCCAGTTTATTACGTCATCACAACATGTGCCACTTTCCTTTTGACAGTTGCAATGTTTCACAAATCAAATATTTGACTAATGGAAAAAAGAATCAGCAGCTAGATCTGTAATGTGTGTAATCCTTAGTTCATTGTTCAAACTGAGCTCCACCTCAACCCCCAGTAAAATCCTGCTTTTATAATCCTTCTAGAGAAGCCAATTAATTACAAACACTCACAGTTCTACTCTCAGCAATGTTTGCCAATCTTACTTGCATACTTTAGTTAAGTAACATTTTGAATGCAGGGGTCGTCGTGGCACAGGGGTTACAGAAGGTGTGCAGGGAAGCACAAGGTTGTTGATCGAGTCCAGGCTGCCCTATGTTCCATGTTGAAGTGTCCCTGAGCAAGCCACCTAAACCCTAATTGCTCCCTGGGCAAAATGTGAAAAAGCCATGGGTGTAAAGTGTAATGTAAGTCGCCTTGGATAAAAGCGTCTGCTAAATTACCTGTAATGTAATGAATTTTACTGTGTGTTTTGTGTAGTTTTACTTTATTAAATTATTTAAATGGTCATTTTCATTAATTACTACTACTTACTAGGCTTCACATTAACCACAGCTAGTGGTTTTTAATACACTTTATATTTAAATGAAGTCTAAATGAAGAATAAGGCAGATCACCACACCAGGTTCAAGAGTAATAGCATTTGATTATATTAAAAGCTTATTGCAACTTAACTTACTTGTTTTAATAAAAAATACTTTTTATATCTGTGTGTATCTGTATATGTGTATAGTTTATTGAAGTTATAAGTCAGGATGTAAACAAATGGCAAGAAGATATAATCAACACTGTAAAATAGTAAATCTCCCTGAAATCATTTGCTTGTCTCAGCACCAGCAGCTGATATCACAGCACTAAATTTAGTGTGTGAGTAGTAACGGACAAGATGACTGACTGCTTGCTTTTAAATCCCAAATTTTCTTAATCACCTTTTACTTTTTTAAATTATTATTATACCAACTGTTAACCCTATTTAAAAACATGTACTGGTGTTAATTTGGCTGAGGGTGCTTAGGGAACATAACGTGTAGGACCTGGACTTGTCCCGGGATTTGTTGGATTTGAGACTTTTTCCCACCTCACCATCATTTTGAAGTCGGTCAGTTAGGCTACTTATCACACTATCAATTTTTGCTTGGCTCAAAGACTGAAATAACTGATTTATTTGACAAGTTATAAATCTAACTTGTCAGATAAATCAGTTATTTCAGTGTTTCTTTAGTGGACAAGATATTAACCATAAACTTTATCCAAGTGAGTCATTGAAAATGTCTTTGTTACACACTGTGATTAAGCGGCATTATTGTTTTTGAGGACACAGATGCTTCTATTTCTATATGATAAATATACAAGGGGGTAAAATAACACGGAGCTTTGGTCTGTGCGCTGAGAGACTGAGATGACTCGTGTGGTATTGTACTCCTGGTTCTCTGGTCAGTGGAGCTGTTCCAATACAAAACTAAAGTCATGTATACAAACATGAGAAGACGTTGCTAATTTTAGGACCACATGATAGGGCAGCAAGGCCTTGAGGTCAGACGTATGAACGCGTGCGCTGCTCAAAGTGCATAGGCTGAAATTCAGACGCCTCTGTGTCTTCCAGGGGCCGGCCCTCCCCTCCGCCTTCCTCACGCCTCTAAAGTCAGTGTCCCTAGCAGATGACATGTAATTCTGGGGCCGTGAGCGCTGCCCCCTGAACAAGATCTCTGCCGACCAGTTGAACGATGGCGGAGACATGTTGAACGCTCAGCCAAACAGATATAGCAGCAGCTGGAGAGACAGCAGCGTTTCTCTTCCCTACCGCCGCTCAGTCAAACTCCTTCTGGAAAATCCCACCGCTCTGTGAGGTGCACATAGAGCCAAAATGGAGATTTCCCTTGAAGATGCGACGGGCAGCTCACTGCCCAACTTAGAGTACCAGGCGGCGCACCAAGCGTTCAAGGATCGCTGGAAGGAGACGGATGAAACCATGTGTCGCCACAGCATGTCCTTCCATCTGCACCACGCGGTGAGGAGCGAGTTCTTTGCCAGCTACCTGTACCTGCTGGAGAAAACTCCCGTAGGTAAGGACAAGGACCACACAAAGACCCAACCACACGCAGTTCACAGGTCAAGATTTACAACCTTTACTTGACCCTTGACTCCATTAAGGATTTAGAAAAGCTGTTGAAGCACTCTGGAGGCTTTGCATGTTTTGGTTCAGTACAAATCACTTGTTTTTTGTGTTCCCCAAAGTATAGTTTATGCACTAAAGAAAATGTATTCCCAATGGGGTTTTCATTTGTTTCCATTCACGAAAAATTCATCACAAGGTAATGCATTTGCCCATTGATCGGGAGACTGTCCTACATTATCAAAACGAGACCGAAAATCAAAGCAGACCTGATCATCACTGTGACTGATTACTTGTCTAAGATGGATTTACATATTTGGAAAGAATTGAAACAATGGCTCCCTGCAGTAATGTTGAGTGTGCCATACAACTAAACAGACAGTCACACACCACACACGCCATGTTCCACCACTTGACTCGCTGTTTCAGTTTCAAAGGAAAAATAATGCAGCCTATAACAAGCTGGACTTAACAGGCGTGCAGCTTTCAACAGAGCCGTTATTGGTGGGAAAAAACAAAAGCATCCATAGGTGATCCCACATTTTTAAGGGTGTATATCTAACAAGCACTTCTTCCAGGACTAAAGAATTTCTGTAAGCAAGGAAAGCCCCCTGTCACAACAGCAGGCTGCTCTTCGCTGTAGAAAGTGTAATTTCCCTCTGCACGGTGTGCACTTGTCCATTTAGATCACTGAAAGAGGAGACCCTGAGCTGCTGGCCGTGCTGGCTGAAACACCCCTTATTTTCTTACCAAAAACTTGATACAAAGACCATTAATGGCATGGCATGTCAAGCATGAAAGCATTAACTCATGTCAGTCAGTGCTAAACATGACAGTCAGAGGGCAGCAGTCAGATTGTTTACCGACAGCCGCAAGCGTTTAACACCAAACGGACAGAATTAGATATTTGTTTAGTCCTTATTTATGTCTCAATAAGGAAAATGGCAGCAATAGGATCACACTTACAAATAGGTATACTGCATACTGGATGGAAGAGTGTAACTAGTTAAATTTAGACCTAAAATTTTCTTTCATCGGATGTCTCATTCTTCCATCAAAGGTTAACTTCTAATGAGCAGGTCCACTCTGAAGTTGCGAGGTAGAAGAACATAGTAGCAATGGATTGACATCTCCTTGGCAGAAGTGCATGTCATCACCCGGTCTTCCCCCCCCTCCTAGCTGTTGCTCCATGTTTCTATAATTACCCTTCATCTGAAAGCCTTCCCAAGAGGGGTCACGTGACAGCTTTAGAACAATAAAACATGAAACATCTCAAAACCAAGTGGGTACTTGACAGAAAAGTCCTCGCGTCGTCTGTTTTTGCACCTTGTTTGTTGCGTGACCTCCAGGAGCGATCCGGCCCCTTTAATGGCTCCTTGTTTCTGGCGTGAAGGGGAGAGTCCAGCTCGAAATAAATCCCCCTGCTTAATGTTTCACTTTGGTGTCATGAATTCTGCCTCTGGAGGTCTATGACAAGCGGAAGGACATTCTCCCATCATCTCCCACACATCTACGCCAGGAACGTGTCACCTAAGCTTTTGGAAGTGTTGCGTTCATTCTGCAGGATTTATTTCAGCTCAGCGGAGCTGAGGCAGTGAAGGCTTGGGATTAAGTTTCTTAATGTCACAGTATGTCATTGAAATCATATAATACGTGTTGTAGTACAAGACATGATTCAACACGCAGACAGTATTTAACATGATCTGTCGTGGTACTGGATACAGGAGGGTCAGAGCTTCACAGAAACACTTTTAGTTTTGCAAACAAAGCATGTTGGACAATATTGGAAACGAATCAACCAGCTAGTTTTTTTGTATCATGTAACAGCTGAGTAGAGTGTAAGCAGCACGTCCTTATTTATAGTCTTCTGGTAATCAAATCATTCTTCCTTTCCTTTGAGATTGTGACAGTGATCCTCTCCATACACAGCAGTCTAATGGCATGACATATGTCGAACATAATTACTAACTACTTGCCTTACATTCCAAATCTAATCTCTAATACACTTTTTAGATTTAGTAATGGTCTTCCGTTCCAAAACCACCCAGATTGCAGTTGATGCTAATTCATCACAAAACTTGAAAAGCACCCTTATTGTACTATCATATTTTCTGCTGACTAACCTTTACTTAATTTCCTATAATCAAAAGTGATAAATCATTGAGATACATTAGTCCGGGGTTAATTTAAGTCGGTTAGAATACTATGCAATTACACCACCTGTTGCCATCTTGGTTTTGAATATCACCATCTTGGCTTTTTTGCAACCTGTGACACTACAAGCTTAAAGATAAATGAAAAATGAGGTGGTGCGCAGCGAGAAAGAAGTGGGCTTACCAGAACTCTGTAGCCCTCAGCCTCCGAATGCATCAGAATTAACCACTAAACTGTCGGCACCGTCTTATTGTTTGTGCTAGAAATTTGATTCGCTGACCTCAAGTTGTTTGACTTTTCATATTGCTCCAGTGAAGTACGGGTGTTCTCTCGGACACTGTGACATCACTGCTGGCTGTGGTTTGCGGCACCAGCGTGAAACTTAAAACCTCTCCTAAGAATAACATAACGCCACATCATCAACAAGGTATAACAAGTATTAAGCATCTGTGTGTAAAACTGTTCTCTTAATGTGTCACTATGTCCCCTGTGAAACAGTGAAGCTCTTTCCAGTCACCTGTGAGTACATTAAAGGAGAGAAACAGTTCTACTACAGAGCTCAGCAGTTCTACGAGGACGTCCCAGCTTCGGAGGAAGGCATGCTGGGAGATTTTTTGGAGATAAGCAACGTCGATCTGGAGGGTTCCCGGCAGTTTCTTAAGAGATTTGTGGTGAGTCAGGCGACGCCAACTCGCGCTCAGTTTCAGATGAACGACTCAATCCCGTCTGGGACCCGATACGGTAACATTTGAGAATGCATTCATCATTTGCACACTTCTGAGCAGCATATTGATTTACACTGGTACAGCTATCCCTGGATATACATGTCAGAATCTATTTTGGGTTAGGAATTTGTCTTCCTGACAGCATAAAAAGAATTCCACCTTGTTTCATGCTGGAGGAAACTTCAGTGCAGTTTCTAATTGTAGCTCACACTTGATGTCAGCCTCATAAACACACGAACAAGCTGAGTAAACGGCTGATGATCCATTTGCAATATGTTCGGTTTTCACTAGTGCTAATATGTACACAGTACAGCGGGAGGAGCTATTTATTAGGCTTCTGTTGGGATCTATAAACTGCAATGTATTGTACAATTGGTTTTGAAGGAGAGGTTTTGAACTTTGGAGAAATAGGCCTTTTTTCTCTCTTGCTGGCAATTAGATGATAAGTTGGAGGCTGCCTGCAGGAGACAGTTGAGGAATCTTATCATTCTGACATAACCCCCCCAAAACAATGAAATAAACAAACAGGATCTAATGTGTTAATTACTTATAAATTAGTAAAGTGCTGGTAAGTTGTTTTCATTACTTTTGGGCCGAGGTGAGAACATCATTTTCTAAATTCTTGCACTCGTACTCTCGTGTGTTATTCTTACATGTTTGCTTGCTTGCAGATGTCTATCTTTATATTTTCACGTCAATGCATGTCAGAGTGGACTGGAGGGCTGTTTTAGATGTTGGAAGACGTGTTGATTGAGGGGAATGGATTTTTGCCCAGAGACAAGGTTATTTAGAGGATCAGTTTAACAGAAGATCTAATTATAAAGTTAGAGAGAGATTGGATACATTAAAATGAACTACAGACAACTAAATGGTTACTTCACTACCGCTAACTGATTATTTTCATGAATCAATCAATTAGAAGTCTGTGAACATAAATAAAAGATTATTGATCACAGTAATTCAATTCCAGATTCTAACATTTAAGGATACTGAATTAGAAAAGGTTTGCTTTGTAAATTACAGCATAGAATTAAATGATTACAAATCAAAGATCATCTTAAATGGAACCCTAACCTATAATTATTATCGTTCAGTGTCCAAAATAGGACTTAAAGACCCCCCCCCCCTCACAATCCTTTTATTCTAATTGTCTCGTTCACTGATGGCATTAAGTACAGGATTCCATGATAAAGCCAAGAAAAACAATTGCCAGAAATCCGCAAATCTCTGTTTTCCACCATCTCTTCAACAAGCGTGTGCTCAGATACACACCGCTCTCCCCTGGCTGGGAACAGCTTCTGTTTGAACCGGACATCCCCATTAAAAACAAGTCGGGAAAGGAAAAGATTTAGAAGACATCTACTGAGCTACATACGCTCAGAGCAATGTGGCAGTAATTCACCAAAAATGAGGAAGCGTCCTGCAACAAGCACACAGCTCCTCGGGGCCCCATCTTTCATACAATCACACACTGGGGCCCCACGATAAGGAGGGGTCGCAGTGAGGTCAAAATACCAAATGAAAAAGAAGAAAAAGCAGCATGATTCAAGTGAGGTGACTTTTTGTTCCCGGTGGTAAAGTTCATGGTTCTGTTGCCTTGAGGAATTGAGGTTGGCTTGTTTGGGCTGTCGGTGCTTTTGAGGTACTGACATCTGGCAAATTTACCATGGTTCCCTGACTCATAGATATTATAATAACAGGCTGCAGGGAAGATTACGTTTACGAACTTTTAAATCCAGCTCTTTCGTTTTTATGGTTGCCTCACAAACTTGTACTGACTTTCTCTTAGACACACCTCTAAATAATGTTCCCTGCTGCTACAACTTTGATTCATCAATTTCTTCTGCATCCACAGGGTCCCGGTAAAGCCGGCACGCACTGTGCCCTGGACTGTGGCTGCGGGATCGGCCGCGTGTCCAAAGGCGTCCTCCTTCCTGTGTTTGAGAAGATGGAGCTGGCGGACATGATGGAGCACTTCCTGCTCCACGCACACGAAGAGTACCTTGGCGACGACGCCGACCGCATCGAGACCTACTACTGCTTTAACCTGCAGGAGTTCACCCCTCCGAAAGACAAGTACGACGTCATCTGGATGCAGTGGGTGGCATGTGAGTACGAGAGGGTTCTCTCCATTACTTAAACTAGCACATTTTCATCGGCATTGGGTGTGAATTAAATTCCAAGGGACAGCAAGCTTTTTTCCTCTTCTTTTTTTTATCTGAGACAAGCATTGTTTTCTAATTTCCTGTCAGGTCTTAATCTTAGGTCAGGTCTTAGTGCCTTCTTCAGTAGCTGTCTTGACCATCAGACTGCAGTGGGTCAATTGATGCATGAAGCAGTGTAGCCTGCCACTGACTCCGTCTGCCTGGGAAAGGTTTTGGTCCGCACCTGTAGGAAAAGATATGGAGACAAATATCCAAGCAGGGACAGGTATCTTTGCTGGGATGAGTTGTTGTCTTTGGCTTGACTCCGTGTCCATCTTTCTCTCTCAGGCCACCTAACAGACAAGGACCTGATGAATTTCTTGATGCGCTGTAAGAAGAGCCTTCGTCCTAACGGCGTGATCATATTAAAGGACAATATGGCGCGGCAGGGCTGCAAGCTGGATCCCATCGACAGCACCATCAGCCGCCACCTGGACATCATGAAGTGCATCATCGGCAAGGCAGGCCTGGAGGTCCTGGCTGTGGAGAAGCAGGAAGGCTTCCCTGATATCATGATGCCTGTCTGGATGATTGCGATGAAATAGAGGTGACACCATTTCTTTTGAGAGATTCAAAGTGAATGATCGAGTTTGAAATAATAAACGGCAACAACAACACAGCAAGAAATCGGGAGATAGATGAAACGGCACAGTGGACGACCTGATGGCTCCTGGGGACATTTTTTGGAGACCGGAAATGAATTAAAGCTTTTGACCTTTTATAAGCACTCTATACATCCACAAAGCAAGTCTAACCCTTTGCTATCTGGAGCCGTGGGAGAAGCTTCTTCCCAATGGATTTGTCATGAAGTACAACATACTTTATCATAAGCAATAATACATCATGTTTATTTAAATAACTGTGTTGCTTCATTTTATAACGTGATGAACATGCAATCGGTATCTGGATATGTTATCTGGATAATGTCTGTTCAGATGCTTTTGAATTTACACTTGGTATTCTTGATCCAGCTCACATTGGGATCGGATCGCAAGCTGCAAGTTAGGCAACAGCGGCTCGACCTGGCAACAAATATGCAAAATGCATTCCAGGTCAAAGGTGCTAGACGGGAGAGTCGAGACAGAGAGCAACAACCTGCAAACTAAAAGAGATTCTAAAGAAATTATGGAGAATCCATTGATTTCTAAAACAGTATTTTTCCAGGTAATCACTACTTCGAATGAAAAAAAGTCACCGCTCAAAGATCAGTCAAAATAAAAGATCTGATGCAAATTGTCGGTAGCGTGCAGTGCTGCGCTGTCTGCGGCTGCTTGAGTGGGCGATGTGTACCTGTAATAATCAGGGCCGGTGGAGAAGCTTACTAGCATTGGAGTTGCCCCCCCACCCCCCCTCCTGTTATGAGACCCCTCGTCTGGCAGATCTTTGCAGACCCTTGAGAGCAATTCTGCCTTGTTTCTACACTGTGCAGCTTACAAAGCACATTCCCATTATATGATTGAATGAATTATATAATGTGAACTTTACTCTTTATGAATTATAAACTCATAAAAGACTAATGATTTAAGTTGCTTGGAGTTTGAGTCAGTCTTCTGTCAACAGTTAAGTGATGGTGGTCTATGGATTTAATGCTTTTTGGACCACAGACAGCGCTGCTAATACACCCATGGTTTATAGGCTCATAAGGAGCTCATCTGTAGTTTCTTGAATCAAAGCATGAATAGGAGGAGTGGCGACCTTGCAACATGTTGCTCAGATGTCTTGAGAATTCAGCCGCAGTTTGTATTTACATTATCTCCCCTCACAACAGCGTCTCATCCAATATTCCTGTTGTGTTGCATGCATGTGTTGTCTTTTGCTGATAACGGAAAGATATCCAGACACCGGTTACATGTTAAAACCAAATCGTCGAGGTCTAAAGTATCAGGTCAACAGTTCCTTGCCGCTTTACATTACAGGAGAAATAACATTCTGTGCACAGGATTGGTCAGGTGTAAGTATTACATTTGTTTTATGTAATTACTTGTTTTATACTTTTGCTTGTTGTAATGTAGATTCGTGGTACCTTTTTTGTATTGATTTTTATTGTCATCCTTTCCGTATAAGGCAGACATGTGGACAAGTTGCTCCCTGTAAATTCCACTCTCTAGCACAACGTCGGGGCATCTGAATGCATCTTACTGTACCCTCCCTTTAAAGCAGCTGAAGACATTTAGCTGCATCGATATTTGAAAAATAAACAGCATATGGATATAGTGCCATTATTTCTAAATGCTCTCTTCATATACAACGGGTGTCCTCCCATGTTCCATAAGGATTAGGATGGTATTAGTGATGGGTAATCACTGCTGCCTATTATAATCAAGGCTGGAACATAAATGCTGACCAATTTTCCCTAAACCTTCCAACGGCGCGTCCACACCCCTTACATTCTTCACAGTGGGCCGAAAACACACCAGATAATTGAGATCCTCTCAGATCTTTGCGTGAATTCTCCTAAGTATTATTACTATTACTTTTCTCGGCGTAACAGTTGAAGCAGCACATTGTTCCGGCCTAACGACTTTCAGCTGGGCCCCTTGTGGCGGATTGGACGGGGGGGGGGGGCTTGATTATTTCCTGGTTTTGACAGACAGTGCCGGCTTTCATATCTGCCCTGGCTTCATTTCAAGCCTGTCAGATGTTGTCTACGTAGAATACATCCAGGAGTCGCCTCAAATATTCAGCATTTGCGTGTGCAGGGGCTCAACGGGAGAGTTGCGGAGGGGCTCCCGCCTGAGCTCCCTATGAAAGGACAGTGTGTCGATGAGTCCACTGGCACTGAGAAAGTACCGAATCATCAAAGTGTTGGAGGCGCGATGGCGTGAGATTATCTCCACGGCGCGTTGCTCTCCTCAGAAGGACTCTTTTGACACGCGAGTGGACCGAACATATTTTCCACATCCCATATGAATTAAAGATCAAATTGCCCCAAAGTTAAACTTTTGAGGGTATTTTTTTTTCTCCCCCGCAGCAAATAGCAGCCAAATGTGCTGTCACCTTTTCAGGAGTGGTTAGCGTCCCTGACAGTCAAGGCTATCATTTCTAATACTTCTCAACTTCCTCTGCAGCCGCTCGGCAGCCGTTTGAATACATTAGCTGGAGTAACACTAATTTGTCCAGTCATGTCAGCAGAGGTTTTGGGCCTGATTCCAGACAGAGTACATGTCAGACAGATCTCAGAGACAGGAGTGAGACAGAGACCACAAAGGGACGTATAGTGACCAACGCTGAGTGTGTGATTGCCTCAACATGCAAAAATCAGCTTGGAACCGTTCGACTCGGCTTTAACAAGAAGAAACGGATCAACGTAGATATTGTATCACTGTGGCTCACTTGGAATCCGCAGGCCAATTTTACACACACCAACATCTTTGATAACAAACCATAACTCTTGAAAACACAAGTGATTCCCAATTATGATAAGTGCCTCGGGATGGGCTTCCAATCATCAGTCATTTTGTCACCTTGCAAAGCGAAAAGACGTTTCACCAAAACAAATTTGCCGTTGAGTTGTTTTCTCAGTATCTTTTATTCATACTGTGCTCTGAAAGAAACTCGGTCTATTTTGAGTTAAATTCTTATGCGCGCCCACTGTGCTTATTGCTAACGAAAGGGGCTTATTTTTAGGTCGGGATCCTAAAATAGAAAGAGCGATCATGCCTAAACAAAAAGACAACATGTTACTGTAGAACAAGCTTGTGATCACACTAAGATACAGCGTCATTTTTGTTTGTTTGTACTTTCTAGTTGTGGGAGTTGTCATGTGCATTACAGCCTATAGTGGGTGCTAAAGGTGCTTTAGCCTTTCAGTCTTGTTGTGAAAATGGGATGCACAGAGGGACGCTCACACTACAGTATCAATCCAAGTGTGAGGTTGGTAAACACCCCAGCAAGCAGCAGCGGGGGCAAAGTGGGGGGGTCTTTTTCTAAAGCCGTGGGCCCAGACGGCATGAAGCCTTCGTCCTACACAGTCTGCGTGTGATCAGCAGCAGAGAGGAACCTCAATCAGAGCTGGTACGGTTTGGTGGAGACAGAGAGAGGGCTAAGCCTATAACCTCCATTCCCTGAGAGACTCCACACCAGAGGAATGCAGTTTCCCTTCATCTCCGCAGTTCTCATAGTAAATCATGTTACTGGGAAAAAAATAATTAGACCTGATGATTTTTGGGCTGCTTTTTCTTTGGCTGCCGGCACACTCTCCCAGCGTGTCGTCAAGGGTCTCAGAGTGTTGGTTTCTTTTTCGCCTCACTCAGCTCCTCTCAGCTCAGAGGGCAGGGATTAGTTACACAGACTTTTAACAGGCCCGTCCCCCCAGAAAACATGTAATATTTCATGCAGCAATGTGGTTTTGGAGCCTGATTTCGCCGCTGCTGACTGTAAGGGTTTAATCTGTGATTTAAGCAACGGGTGACAAATGACGCCAACCACACAGTAGGTTGATTTCTAGAACTGTGGTCATTGGAGAAAGAACTGTGCAATACCGAGAGGGGGAATCATTTCTCTTTCCAAAAATGACCTTCCTGCTGAACAGCTTGTGACGGAAAGCATTGCTCACAACAAGAAAAAAAAAAAAGGAGGAATTTATCCCCATCTGGCGCTGGAGTGTGCGTGCGTGCATGTGTGATTCACCAGGACTACGGTGGAGTAATGCAGGGCCAGTACGTTTTTGGCTTCACGTGCCGAGCCAGACCCTGAGGCCTGCACACAATGTTAAAGACTGGCGTTACCCTCCCGCCCTGTATGTGTGAATTTCTGTCCGTCTTCCAAATATTTTACACAGCACACACACACAGTAATTTGTACAACTCTTCGCGTAAATGTGTATTTTTTTGTTTCAATTACTGTTTCTACAGGTTTTATGTCAGAAACTTCACTTCAACGTTTTAAAAATAACAGTATTCTTCCTGATGTTTTGGAGAACTTTTCCACCAATCAGGCAAGTCCTTTGTTTCACACTTACATGCCTTAGCATTTGCTCATTGAACGGTTTATTGTTTTCTCTTCTGGGCTCCTTCATTCCATTGAGATATTGGCATAAGGGCATGCTGGAGCAAACCGATGGGAACAGAAGGAAATATAGAAAACGCAATTATAATACGGGTAGATGAAATCCAGCGTTCTGATTGGTTGAGGGTGAGTGACAGGCTGTGCATTATTCAGCGATAATCCTTCAATGTCTAGCAGCACATTCATGGCCATGACGTCACAATCACATGTTCATTCAACTGTCCCTCGAGGGGACTTTGTCGGGTGTCCACATACCTTTGGCCACGTGTCCTCCTGTAAACAAACACACACAACATCACAGCTGGAAACAAACACCACAGTGGATGGGATCCGCGTGTGTGTAAGTGGTAAGTGAAAGTGTATACATAAATTCAGTGTAATTTGGAACAACAAACACCTCGTTTCATTTCCTTTAACTGAGGTTTCGAGAGCAGAGCCACCCAATTACTTTTACCCCCAATTTGGGCCGCCGCCCCCCCCCCCCCCCCCCGGGGTTGCCGTGGTAGCGTGTTGTCTCACAACATGTGGAGCCGCTCTCGGGGCCCGCCGCTCTCGGTGCCCTTGGAAGCCTCGTCCCTCACGCTGGTTTCAATTCCATAACCTTTCAGATCACGGCGTAATGAGTGGAAATGGCCTCCACATGCACATTATGCCCAGACGAATCATTTTTTTCCAACCGAGCCAATTTACTCCCGTGATTAAATCTTTTTTTCCTACTTGAGTCAGTGCAGAGAGCCAGGCGAGAGAGAGGTTTGGAGCGTGTTGTGTGTCTACAGGGAGTCAAATGTGTGTGGGGAGTCAAGTGTGTGTGTGTGTGTGTGTGTATTAGTGTTTTAAATGGGCATTCTT